AACAATAAATAGTAATAATAGTATCTAATTCAAAGCACTTATTCCAATACCAAGAACATAAATTTTAAAATTCTTAGTTGCTACTATAGTTTTATTTTCTATGAGATAGCATTATCACATGAGATTAAAAATATAAACAAAGATAATTGTTGCTGAAACATAAACAGCATGCCAAAGAGTCTGGACTTCAAAAGGACAGAAAGAAATAAGAAAACATTTTAATAACAATTAAAACACAAGCCTATCACACTTTTAGGAAAAACACAGAATCTAACATTGAAAGATACAGAGATGTATCTGTGCATATGTACAGAAATATAGATTTAAAATTTTTAATTTCAATTTTGTCCATTCACAAAACATCCAAAAGCTTCCTTCCTGGACATAAACACCTTTCCTTAAGTACTAGCAAATGCTTATACTGCCAACCTACTGCTCTGAGTGTAAAGATGCCAAACAGGCAGGTTTTACCAGTCAGTCTTCCAATCAGTAATCTTCTGTATAGCAGGTACTATCATAGTGTTACTGATTCTTAATAGTCACCTCTCAGTCTTGCCTCTATTTGGCTGTCATTTCAGCAGGGCAGATTCTCGTAGGATATCCAAACTGAGACAAACAACACATTTGACACAATTTTTTTTAAACTTAGTTTTATTTATCATAGGAAGGCAGAGATGGAAATCTACTGGTTCACTCCTCAGCTGTCTTGCAAAAGCAAGGGCTAGGCCAGGCTGAAGCGGGGAGACAAGAACTCAGTCTGAGTTCCCATCTGGGTGGAAGGAATCCAAGTACTTGTGCCATCACCTGCTGCTTAGCACCAGGAGAAAGTGGCAATCAGGAGTGAAGACAAGACAACTTCAGGAACCTCAATATGAGATGCAGGCATCCCAATCAGCATCGTAACTGCTACACCAAATGTCAATCCCTGACATAAATTCTTACAATATTAATGTAAAATGTTACGTGAACTATTTATTTTTTAAGATTTACTTTTCTTGGAACAGCAGATTTACAGAGAGCAGGAGAGACAGAGTGAGGAAGATCTTCCATTTGCTGATTCATTCCCTAAGTGGCCATAATAGCCAGAGCTGAGTTCAGCTGAAGCCAGGAGCCAGGAGTGTCCCAAGGCCTTGGGTCATCCTCGATTGCTTTCTCAGGTCACAAATATGGAACTGGATGGAAAGTGGAGAAGCTGGGACACAAACTGGTGCCCATATGGAATCCCAGTGCTTACAAGGCAAGCATTTAGCCACGGAGCCATTGTGCTGGGTCCATTAAAAAGTTTCATTAGAAAACAACCATATTCCATTCATGGACACACGATCGATAGATGTTTTCATACTACAGTAGTAGAATTAGATTAAAAACTGAGGTAAATGGCATGGTACTAAAGTCTAATGTATTTATTATCTTTCTTTTACATGAAAAGCTTGCTGATCTCTTGATTAAATAAACCATGACTTGATCATAAGTTTATGCAGCCATTTAAAACAGTATAGAGGGCCCAGCGGCGTGGCCTAGTGGCTAAAGTCCTTGCCTTGAACGCGCCGGGATCCCATATGGGCGCCAGTTCTAATCCCGGCAGCTCCATTTCCCATCCAGCTCCCTGCTTGTGGCCTGGGAAAGCAGTCGAGGATGGCCCAAAACTTTGGGACCCTGCACCAGTGTGGGAGACCCGTGTGGGAGACCCGGAAGAAGTTCCTGGTTCCTGGCTTCGGATCGGCATAGCATCAGCCGTTGCGCTCACTTGGGGAGTGAATCATCGGACGGAAGATCTTTCTCTTTGTCTCTCCTCCTCTCTGTATATCTGACTTTCCAATAAATAAATAAATCTTTAAAAAATAAATAAATAAATAAAATAAAACAGTATAGGAAGTATTTACTAGTGAGAATGCTTAATTAACTAAATAAGATTATATATATAATAGTATATCAAATTAAGGCCACACTTTTGCTCATTTTAATAATTATAACATAGACGGGGATAAGCCCATGGCTAGCAAACAAATCCTCTGCCTTTTGCGCCAGCAACCTATATGGGCACCATTTTGTGCCCCAGATACTCTACTTCCAATCCGGCTCCCTGCCCTAGGAAAACAGTGGAGCATGGCTCAAATACTTGGGCCTCTGCACCCACATAGAAGACCCAGAAGAAGCTCTTGGCTCCTGGCTGCAGATCAGCTCAGCTTCAGCTATTGTAGTCATTTGGGAAGTGAAGCAACAGATTCAAGAGCTCTTCCTCTGTCTCTCCTTCTCTCTCTCTATAAGATATGCCTTTTAAAAAAATGAGTATTTCAAAACAGTATTAAAAATAGTAACATATAAAATAGAAAACACTAGAAAATTGTGTCAAAATATTAAGTTTTTAACCTGTAAGGGAGAATTTATATATATTTTTGGAACTTATCTACATTATACTTTCTAAAACAATGTATTTTAATATTAATAAAAATAATGTTGTGAAAGGCAGACTTGAAAATAGACTCTGGAGCTATCTTCAGCTCCTGGCACTCATGACTTGCTTCTAAACTACAGAACATGGGCCGAGCACAATAGCCTCATGGCTCAATCCTCACCTTGCATCCACCAGGATCCTATATTTGTGCTGGTTCATATTCTGGCTGTTCCTCTTCCCATCCAGCTTCCTGTTTGTGGTCTGAGAAAGCAGTAGAGGGTGGCCCAAGGCCTTATTACCCTGCACCATTATGGGAGACCTGGAAAGAAATTCCTGGTTCCTAGCTTCGGATCAGATCAGATCTGCTCTGGCCATTGTAGCCACTTGGGAAAGTGAACCAGCAGATGGAAGCTTTCTCTCTCTCTCTCCTCTTCTATGTATATCTGCTTTTCCAATAAAAAAAAAATTAAAAAAAAAAGTATAGAACATGGGAAGTCTAAAAGAGTATCACTTCCACAAACAAGGTATGTAATAATGACTTCACTCCTGCCAGCACATCTCCCTGTTGCCTTGTGGCTTGTACACTTAACAGCTATGTAAGACCAAACCAGGTGGTTAAGCAACTGAGTGTGGTCTTTGGCAAAGAGACAAAAACAAATGAACAGCCTCAGTTCAAAGGCTACAGGAAATGACAGCTTGCCAACAACCACCTAAGCCTGGAAGTAGATCCTTCAACGGTCAAGCTCTCAGGTAAAATCCTTTCACTGGCTGACAGGTGGACTGCAAAGTCACGAGACACCCTGAAGCAGAGAATCCTCTTAATCCGTGCCAAGATTTTAGACCCACAGAAATCATGAGATAACATGTGTCATTTTAATCCACTAATTTTACAGTTATTGCTAATGCACAAGAGGTGCCTGATACAAATACCGAAATTATTGCTATGGAATAATTTGTAAAAAAGAAAACACCAACTTTCAAGTGCTTAAGCAATTCCAATATTTCATGGTAGATATGACATCAGAAAAGAAACAGTGAAAATTAGTGGGTTGGCCAAATTCTATTCTTTAGGTAAAATTAGTATGCCAGTCACCAGATATACACCAGGTATACACTAAAACCATTCAGGTTTGAACTCAAAGATCTGGAAAGAAGTCCTGACTATACAAAGTTCCCCAAAGCCTGGAAATACTATTATCTAAATTTAACAAGAAATGAGCATTTGATTTTCAGTTCTCTTGAGTGTTCTGTACCTACCTACTTCCCCTCCAAACCCCTCCAAAGCCCACCTCATTTGGTCAATATAAAAAGAAGCACTACAGTAAGGCCCAGCCAGGGTGGGTGAGGGGCAGCCCAGAGGATGCTGAGAAAGGGGGCTGATAAGGGATATGGCCGCACCTGCAGAATGCAGCCCCCTCCCCAGCTGAGCAGTGAAGTATGGATTCACCAAGGTTGAAACGAACCCACTCCATCCCCTAAACTCCACCTTTGCAGCTCTCTAACAAAATTGATACTTCATGCTCCTGGGTGCAACTTTGCTGGCCCACTGTCTGCTGGACCAGTGAATCTCGCTGGACCAGTGAAGTCTGGGAATGCCCCCAATAAGGCTTGTTTTAAGCTGGATTGTATTCTGTGTAGATTTCTGGTTCTGAACACAAACTCAAACCTTACAACTATCACCACAGAAAAATTGCAGCTGGGATGCCCACACGGCATCTCAGAGTTCAGCTACAGCCCTTGACTCCAAGTTTCCACCTAGATTCTGACAGGAAGCAGACAAGGCTCAAACAATCCCCTTCCTACCAGCCAGAAGACCTGGCCTGAGTTCCCAGCTCCTGGGTTCTGCCCAGCCCAGGCCAGTCCTTGCAAGTATCTGAAGAGTAAACCAGCAAATTGGAGTGCTTTTTAACGTAAATGAAGAATTCTAAATTTCAAATAAAAAAGAGCTACTGCTCTGAAATTATAGCCACCAGCAAAATCTAGTCTCTTCCCAGTATTCCAAAAATAAAAAATAGTAACATACTCTCTAATAGGATTAAGCAAATGTAAATTACTCATTTTCACCTTGATCAATAGGGTAATTACATATGTAAATCTCTCATTCTTATCCCAAAATTGTCTTTAAACAAATGTCATCTAATTTGTATGTCTAACAAGCCATTGCAGTTTATCACTGAAGCAGTAATAGTATTTTACTAGTTTTAGAAGTGCCGCACTATTAAAGACCTTTCCCCTTCCCCAAGCAGTTCTTACAAGAAAAAGCCATTGTCAGCGTTACTACTGGATACTGGCCATAGATCATAAATATCCATTTCTTACCACTGGTCTTTGGGGGAGTAAAATATAACAAAATGGACAAACTGTCCTCTGAGCCAGGTAAAAGCATCTCATTTAGATTTATAAATATCCTGGAGATGTAGTGGAAAGATTGTCAAGACACATATTATTTGCATTTTTTTTAATGAAAGAAGAAATCGATGAAGCATTGACTTTGATCTTATCTTGCCCCTCCCCCAAAAAACTTCACCACCAATACTAAATGGAGGGGAAAAAAATCTACCTGCTGAATTTTATCCCTCTGAATAACACTTCAAATTTTACTTACAGTTACTCTTGTTACAAACTGCTCTCACATTCATTTCCCCTCAGAGTAAAATCTCGATTTTAAAGGACTCCTCGGTCATTTTGAGAGCTGGTGATGCAAATTATTTTAGGAGATTTTACAGCTGGAGCATTGAAGACTGCAAGAATGAAAGTTCAAATCGGCACTAAGGATCAATAATCTTAAATGAATTGTTCCAACGGAAATCATGACAGATAGATAGTTTATTCATTTAGTCACGACTCTTGACATGTGTGAAGTCCTTTGGAATGGTGGAACCTACCATGCTTTATTTCTCTTTGGCTCCTTTGGTCTGATTGTTTGCATCCCACCTCCCTGTTTCCCTGCAAGATTCATATTTTGAACCCCCAATCCTCAGTGTAATATTGAAAAACAGATCCCATGAAAGGCAAGGAGGGTGGAGTTCATGATGGGATTACATTCTTGATAAAAACAGAAGAAGCAGAAGGTCCTTCTCTCTCTCTTCTCTGTCTGTACCAGACAAAGCTATAGAAAGAACCATCTGGGAACCAGAGGCTGGACTCTGGCCAGACAATGAATCTGCCACTGATCTTGGACATTCCAATCTTCACAAAGAGAGAATAGATAGACTTGATCCAGCTTCCTTCCAAAAGCAGAGCCTAAATCCTCACTTCTTGAGAATGAATAACATTTGGTGATTTGCATTTAACAAATAGAAAGGATGTGAAACCATGCTGTAGGGACCTTCAAGAAGATAGACACTGTGGCATATGACTTGGTCTGGCTGTAAGATCAGTTGCACTGGTGTAGGGCAACTGACATATTGTGAGACAACTTGGACATTTATATGAAAAGTATGACAAGAAATGAAGGCTAAGTGTGAGTTTCAAACATCCACATCACTACCAACCCAGTTTACAATCCAGATGCAATCTGATGACAGATCTTGAGCCATAACCACATAGTCTTGAGTTGAAACTTCAAGGTAATTTGAATTACTGTCTCAAGTTGCTACATTCCTGAAACAATTCAGTATATAGGAATGTATATCCCATACCAGCAGAAACAAGGAATGTATTAAATGGCAGTATACAAATACACCTAGCAAAATCTAGGCAGTGGTAAATTTTACAAGAAACAAACCCACTTCTTCAGTCAAAAAATTAAAAAAAAAATCTTAACTTTTTACATGTGAATTCAAACAAGGTATTTAAAAGGTTATAGGACAACAATGTGTAAATTATGGATATTTAATGATATTAAGGAATTATTACTGATTTTTTTTTAGAAAGTTTGATGACGGCATCGCAGCTATGTTTTAAGAGAGTTCCTGACTTCCACCGATATATGCTAAAATATTTACTACTATTTTGCCTGGAATTTATGAGAAAGAGAGTCAGTAGGGAGAGTGGAAAGGAAATAGGGTTGGCTATGAGTTTATAAATATTGAAGCTGAGTGAATGGGAACATGGGCATTCAGTTTGCTTTAGACTTTCTACAACAAAGATTTTAAAAGGGAAAACCTATGCAAATATTCCAACACACACAATCAAATAACATAGCTTACTTAAGAGTGCACTCAGTAAAATCAAATAACTAAAAGCAGATGAACATAGGGATGCATGTTGGTTTCACTGATACTGTCTCAACCCAGATGTTTTGAAGAATTGAACTTGCATTATTTTTAACATATTGTTTACTCAATACTATGTCAATTAATTCCATAACGTTGTATATTGATACTGATGTTTTGTTGGGGATTTTAACTGACCGGAACTTTACTCTGTTAGCTCTACCTTCAGACCAGAGAAGGTCTCCCCAAGAGGCCACTGAACTTATCTGGACAATAAGATGCTGGACTTTATGCTAGGTATATGCTTGCAATGAAGGAATCTCAACTGTGGTTATGCAGCAAGGTGGAGGAATCCACTATGGGGGGAGGGGTGTGGGAGGAGTGGGGGGAATCCCCAGTGCCTATAAAGCTGTATCACATAATACAATGTTAATAACAATAAAAATTAATTAATTAATTAATTAATTTTTAAAAAGCAGATGAAGACCATAAGGGCTTGAAGATTCTGTCATTTAATATAATTAAAGGCAACAATTTGTTAAGTGTCAAGCCCAAAATCCAGACTCCACATTTCGAATGAATGCATCTACTTAAATGACTGGCTTGTAGTTAATATCTTTGGCAAGTATTACTTGATCAAATAACCCATAGCAACATCAAAGATATTATGTCTTCATTTTAATAGTTCAATTCAAATCATGGTCATATTTAGTCACCATATGGACTTTCTTCTTCACCTTTTCCATCATGTTAGAAAGAGTGTAGATTAGAACCTTAAAATGATTCATGCTAAACTTTTATCATCCACCTAGAAAAGCAGCAAGGAGAAACTTATATTAACCAATGGATGGTAAAAGAGACATAAACAGATGCTCTTCACAAGTCTCAGTGCGCCCATGGCAATTATCACCTGTTCTGCTTCATCTATTAGTGCTATGCATGAAAAAGAAGCCAAGAGACAGAAAAACACAGACAAGAAACTTAACCGCCACAGTTGTTTCAAATTCCTTTGTAAAAACAAAACAAAACAAAAAATACATATGACAGCATCCAAACTACAAAATGGAAAGGATAAGCAATTGTAAAAACATCCTGTGCCAAGGCCTGATAACTAAAGCAGCTCACAAAGATCTCATCTCTGTTCCCTTCGTCCCTTACAAACAGAATGGAGAAACTACATTTCAGCAGAAAAGAATCAATCTAGAGATCCCTCATTCTCTCCAATTCAGAATCTGTGTGGTAACTCAGGGCCTACACTGGCAGCAGACTTCATTAACATGGTTAACACGATAACAAAACAAGATGGATCAAGGTTCAAAATTGTAACAGTGGCTTAACTATGAAAGAAAGAAAAAAACCCTTTATAGATTAAAAAAAAAAAACAAGGAAGAAAATATTCTAACATATAGGTTAAAAATAGGTCTGAACAGGATTAAAGCTCCATCTTCCTTTTACATTTTGAAATACATTTTCTTGAGTAACATTTTATTAAATGTCAAACACTTCAAATGTCCAATTCTTATTATTCACATGTAAGATTTTTTTTAAGGTTTCATAGTACAGCTATGGTATAATAGATGTTCTTTATTTAAAATTTAAATAATTATATTCACTAAAGCAACTCCAGAAAATATGTACTTAAAATCAATGCCCGAGTTATTTCAAAATAGATGGTTTGCATGAAAGATATAATTAAGACCGGCCTCCTCTCAGTATGAATTGCTGATGTGGTACTTCATATAGAAGTTATACACTGTTTTCCCAATATGTCAAAGAAATACTAGGCATTACGAGTTCTGTCTACACAAAAGCACACAAATGTACTGAACAAAGCTAGCTTACTTACTGCAAGGTACTGTGCTCCAGTGACTGCTTGCCTTTTAGTAACAGCAACAGTAATAATATAGATGAAAACAGATAGTTCCGCCTCAAAAAAATAAAGAGGAAGCAAAATAAGTAACCAAAGTAATAACACCAGGAAGTACTGAATTTTTCTTAACATACCAACTCTCCATTTTTCCATTTGGTTTGGGCTCCATTTCCATCTTAATCTGGGGAGGAGGGAGAAGGCAAGTGCTCCAGTATGGGAAATTCATAGTATCCAAAGTGCTATTAGATATGTTCCTAGCAACCAGGAAATGTATTACAGATTCCTTTCATTTAGAAACCCTCTTTGAGTATTTGAATGAAGCCTAAGGGCTAAGCGTCCATTCAATTTATATAAAGTAGAACATGAATTCAGAAGACTGGAAGGCAGTGTATAATTTTACTCATTTTTCTCCCCAAATTGTCAGATTTAAAACATTTGATGATGAATACTAAATGGTTCCATTACCAACAACTTCACTAGCTCTTAACCCACCATTTAAAATCTTTCCCCAACAGCACTAACACCTGCTGCCTATAACTACACTAACAATTCCACTTCAAATAAATACGTCTATGACTAATCAGAGAATACCATAAGGGAATATACTTTTGAGAATAGACAGGCGTATAAAACGAAAGGCAAATTTTTAGATGAATTTCTTTAACTTCCTTCTATATTTTACTCTGGCAGAACCATCAAGTTCTATTCCAATACTCCAGAAAAAAAAAAAAACAATGTGGTTACTTACATTCTCATTAATTGGTGGTTATAATATGTTTTTAGGGCCCAATAAAATCACAACAAAAACTTTAGGGTATAACCAATAAAGCATTCATATGTTTTCCAACTCTATCTCACACAACACTCCAAGATACATATTGAGCCTGGCGTGGTACTCTAGCACATGCTGAGATGCCATATGTGTGCCGATTCTCAGCCCCACTTCCCATCCAGCTCCCTGCTTATGGCCTAGGAGGGCAGTCAAGGGCAGCCCAAAGTCTTGCGAGCCTGCACTCACATGGGAGACCCAGAGGAGGCTCCAGACTCCTGGCTTTGGATAGGCGCAGCTCCAGCTGTCGCTTGGGGAGTGAGTCATCGGACGGAGATTCTTCCTCTCTGTCTCTCCTCCTCTCTGTATATGTTTCCAATGATAAATAAATAAAAACATCTTTAAAAAAAAATATCACCATTTTAAAATGGATTTAAAATTCTGTGGAAACAACAATTTACTAACTGGTCACATGACATATATATATATATAACACAGGCTGCGAGTCAAGAACTGTCACTGTTATAAGTGGCCATTGGACACAAAAGGAGGGTAAATGGTCTCTTGGAAGTAAGGCCATGTGCAGCTGTTGGTTATTTGTAAAAATGGGGAAGAAAATGAGAAGAATCACTGTCCGGGTTAACTGTTTTAGTCAGACAAAGATATCGTACAACAGGAAGGACCAACAGTAAACATACTTACAAGGCAGAAATCCATTATTAAGCCAATGGCTGTGTCCTTCTGTGTTAGTTTTTTTTTTTTTTTAAGTTGTAACTACAAATCGTTTACCTTGCATACTGTTAGACTGCATTTTTCAGAGTTCTTGCTCTAGGTCAGAAAACCAAATATTTTACTATAGAAAAGCCTAAAAGAAAGACACATTTATCAAAGATCAGGACTTTGAAGTGTTTCTGAAGTACAGTTGCTTCTTGACCAACAATCAATCAACCCATCAGTAGTTGAAAATGTCCTCAGCTGAAAATGCATTGGACATATTTGACTTATGGAACATCCCAGCACAGCAGCACAATACCCTGCAGAGCATCAGCTCTTTCCTGCACACTCCCAGGAGATGCGCCTCCTGTCGGTGTCCAGCAATACCTGAAAGGTAAAGATCACAGTGCAAATCACAAGCCCAGAGGAAGTTCACAAACCATGGTTTCTACTGAGTACATACTGCATTCACACCATCACAAAGTCAGAAAATCTTAAGCAAGGTGCCCTCTTTCTGCTTCGAAGATTTTTAATAAGTACAGCACAGTGAGTTTTTGTTCTGTATTTGAACATAAACCACAAAAAAAGATTCACTTTCAAAAATAAACATTCTGTGTACATTTGGCCCAAAGCAAAAATCAAACAAAAAACTGACATTTCATACACAGAGTTGAGACAATGAAGTTTATGATGACATTTTAAGACAACATAGTGCATGTACAGTTTTGCAATTTATTAAACTTATCGGAATTTCCACTGGGTGGCTCACACTGAACCTAATTTCTGACTGCCCCTCTTGTATGCAAACTCAGTCTGCACCCTGCAGATAGCACTATTCCTGATGTCAGAGGTTGGCCATCCTGCGTGATCTTGCTGCTGCCTCTCTGTCTGCCCTCATGTCTGCTTTTGTCAAATAGCAAAGACCTTTTAGAGCAGGATTCAAGTGACACGCTTCCACCTGCTTTAACTCACATGTTCCCAATAGGCCAGGAAATGTACCTCCTGTGGACCCCAGTTTTGGGTGTGTCCTACAACGGTGATACTCTCACAACCCTCTGTCCAACCTCCCACACAGCTCAGTCGAGACAGCATTCAGTTTCCTCCTAAGTAAGTGCAAAAACAGATGAGGCAGTGCCCCATTAACCTAGGATTTTGAGGTCTTTATTTAATGGACTGCTTGATAATCTGCCCACATACTAAAAGGGAAAAGCACTGCAATATTAATAGGCCCAGCCATTAATGCTTCATGGGAACAAAGCCACTCTGATTCTGGGACAGAACTAAGCCTGAATGTCTTATTTGCCATTACCTCAGGAATATATCCTGTTCTGTCTTTAAGGACCATGGCACATAAACACCATTAAGCTTAACGCTCTAACTGTGACAGAATGCTCACTTCTATCAAAACTTAAATTTTTTCAACAGAACTGTTTTTGCCTTTGCCAATTAGAAGTGTGAGAAATTTTTGGTCAAAGCCTATGGAAAAACTGCATGAGGTAATAGGACAGCAATATGATTTGTTTTTCTACATTCCTTAAAAAGTTCCCATCCTCCTATTCTGAGTTTACACGGAGAAAGGTAATGAATAGATACCAGGTCTTCTTAAAGAATGACTAAATTAAGGGCCTAGCACAGTAGCCTAGTAGCTAAAGTCCTCACCTTGCACATGCCGGGATCCCATATGGGCGCCGGTTCTAACCTGGGCGGCACTGCGTCCCAGCCAGCTCCCTATTTGTCATCTGGGAAAGCAGTCAAGGTTGGCCCAAAGCCTTGGGACCCTGCACCCATGTGGGAGACCTGGAAGAGTGCTCCAGGATCCTGGGTTCGGATCGACTCAGCTCCAGCCGTTGCGGTCACTTGGGGAGTGAATCATTGGATAGAAGATCTTCCTCTCTGTCTCTCCTCCTCTCTACATATCTGACTTTCCAATAAAAATAAATAAAGCTTTAAAAAAAGAGTAACTAAGTTAAACCATGAGAATAGAATGGCAAGACAGGAAAATTTACCATTTTATAAACATAAAACATACTCAACTCCCAATAAAAATAATAATAATAATAAAAAATTCAATACCAGTTATAAACACTTCTAAGTTAAAGTTTTACATATTCCATTCTTAGCTACTAGCACCAGATAAATACGAATCATGGCAGAAACAAAGCCTTGTTTAGTGCTATAGGCAGCTTTTATTAGCAGAATCAAGCAGAAAATGATCAGACAAATAAATATTAAAACACAAAATGTACTGGTGATGACACTATACTAAAATAACATATAGGAGATTTACAATATTTTGAGAAGGGGTAGGGAAGCCCTACTGTAAACAGTTGCTTTAAACTCCACACTCCTCCCCTCAAACTGAGCAAACCTCACAGAAATTATCATCTGTGACTGTAAAATCATGAAGTTTGTACTCATGGTTCCTTCGCGTCGGTATTCTTCAGAGCAGGAAATGAGCTACATTAAGCTGTCTCACTGTTTTCTCCATCTTGAACAGCTGTGAACTCTGGAATCTCATTCATCCTCAGAACATCTGAATACAGCAAGTAATTACGTAGGCTCCTGGGAAGCGGCAACTGACAGATACAACTGTCAGACTGCAGGTCTTCAGGTTTTAGGCCGGACCGAATTTCCAAACGGCAAAGATGGGTCAAGGATGGGACAGAAACTGAAGAAACAAAGAAAAAGTAGCAAGGTAAAACATTTTTTAACAGAAAAGTTTAACAAGACATGAAAGTAAACACCATCCCCTTCCCCTGCTCCCATCTCTGCGTGTAAGAGAATTAGGTGTTTCTTTAGACTTACTTTGAAATAAGACTTCTTAGGCCAGATGACACTTCCTACAGCCTTCAGCCGATTCAGTTCCCATCCGTTGTCAGCCACACACTCAGAGTTAGTATAGTACCCAGTACCACAAAAACTAAACATTCACATTCTACAAACCTGACAATAACAATGGCACTTGAGAAGTGAATGAATTACCTTTAGAAATGTTGAAAGTTCAGAGCAACAAATGCTAAATCCCTTCCAGGCTGTCTCACTGTAAACCTTCTGAACCAAGTCTCTCAAGTGAAGGGCTGGGAGGCTTACAAATTCTTTTTGTTTGTGACATAAAATGAATTTTTTAAACTGGCACAAAAAAAGGAACATTTACTGAGTGCCTTCCATGCCAATGCACTTCACACATATTCTCTTTTCATCTTCACGGACCCTATGGTGCTGTTTTAGAGGAAAGAAGTTTAGGCAGGTAAAGCAGGTTTCTAGATGCCACTAAGCTAGTAAATGGCAGATTCAAGCCCAGATCCATCAGACCCAATACTGTGTTGCCTAAATGTTTGCTGAAGCCACTACAGATTAAAGAATAACCCACAAGTAAGAGGCATGTGAGAACCATTTCATTTTCCAAGATAAAAACTGGAGAGTCCTAAAGCAGTACTTTTATGTGAAACAAACCTACATCCTTTTGTTAGTAAAAGATATCTTTTATAAATTTGTCTGAGATTGGGATCAGACCGGGACCAAAGACAAGTTCTAGCAAGAGCACAACTAATTCCAGACCAGCTAGTCTGACTTCAAATCTAGGGTTCACTACCTACTAACACCCCATTGGTCTTCAGACAAACTAACTCCACAATATTTTCAACTTTAGTGTATTAGTTTATTTTAGTTCATTCAGACTGTAAGAAACTCCTCAAATTATTATTTTAAAATGCTAAATAAGGAAAAGTTATCTATCAATCTACATGAAAGGCAGAGAAACAGAGAGAAAGAGAGATCTCCCATCCACTGGGTCACTCCCCCAAAACCTACAATGACCACGGTTGTACCAGGCCCAAGAGAGGAGTTCTGTACTTCATTCCTATCTCTGATCTTGGTGTTATGGACCCAGTTCTTGAGCTATCAGCTACTGCCTGCCACGTGCCCATTAGTAGGAAACTGGATAGAATCAAAGGCACACACGAACCCTGGCTGTCCAACAGGGGATGGAGGGGCTAACTACCTTCTGTTGTTAAGTATAAAGATGTTCAACTGGGGTTGGTGTCATGTCACAACGTGCTAATCCTCCTGAAATGCTGCCCTTCATGTCTGGCAGCTTCACTTCCAATCCAGCTCTTCGATAATGAGCTGAGAATACAGTAGAGTTTGGTCTAAGTCCTTGGGCTCCTGCATCCACATGGGAGAATCAGAAGCAGCTCCTGGCTCCCAGCTCACTTCTGGCTGTGGCAGCCATTTGGAGAGTGAACCAGCAGATGAAAGATCTGTTTGTGTCTGTCCTCTCTCTGTAAAATCTGCCTTTCAGATAACTAAATCTTTTTTAAAATGTTCAAATACTAGTAAAGACCAAGAGCAATAATTGGCCAGTTCATGGAAAGTCACCTTAAAGAGGATGACCAAACTAGATATATTTTTAAACATTCTAATTTAAAACGTATACATGAATTACCTGCATAGTGCCCTGTGATTTGTAGCTTTGCTTTCAGGTAAAACACACATGAAACAATGTGAGTACACAATCCTTCCACATTTTTATAACTATTTTCATATCTTTCAGTTGTCTTACATCTAATCCAACCTCTATGTCAGATGAACACTGTATAAAATCTTTTTTAACAAGATTTACTTATTTTTATTTGAAAGGCAGATTTACACAGGACAGGCAGAGGAAGAGATTTTCCATCTGCTGGTTCACTCAAATGACCTCAATAGCTGGACCTGGACTGGAATGAAATCAGGAGCTTGGAGTTTCCTCCAGGTCTCCAATGTGGCTGTAGAGTCCCCAGGACATGGGCCATATTTCACTACTTTATCAAGAACATCAGCAGGGAGCTGATTCAAAAGCAGAGTCGCAAGGACTTGAACTGGTGCCCATAAGAAATGCTAGCCCTGCGGGTGGAGGTTTAACCTACCATGCCACAGCACCAGTGCCTAAAAAAATTTTGAAAGCATTTAACTTTGCCTTAATAGAAACAGTGATTCTCTTCTCACAGCCATAATTCATTGGCTTATGCAACTTGGAATGAAATAATTGCAATAACTTGCCAAATATCATAAAGTTTCATAAATAAACACAACTAATTCTTGCCAGGTACACAATTCAGCTGGTAGAGATAAATGTAATGTCTGCACTCCAGACAGTAGTCTCTCAGATGCAAAAACACAAGCATACCCTGGGCACAGCCATATATGACTAGGAGAGGAAATGTCAATGCTAGCTAATCCTGAGTAGGGATGGCACGAAAGCTGGTTAAGAAAATTTCTACTGCTATTGAGGTAGAGTTTAATAAGTATCTGATATATCTGATACATTGGATATCTTCATTCTGCCCAATATTGGCAGTGTGGATACTTGTGATATACCCAGAAGAAAGATAAATAATGGTCGTGCTCCATGCAGGAGAGCTGCCCACTAGGGATGAAAGACTACTGTTGCTCCAGCCTCTCTGATTTAACAGATGGTTCACAACACCTCAGGCTGACTGGGAAGACTTCTTTGGCCATCACAAAACCTCCTGCAGTGCTAACAAACCTTTCCACCATATATGACAATACTACAGTCCTAAGTGTAAGGCTTAATGAAGGATTTGATTGTGCTGCCATGAGTGTGGAAACTTAACTATTTGCCATCAAGCTAAACTGGTTCCCACACACATTTGTATAGGATTCTTAAGATCCACCGTGACTCTATACACAGCTACTATTAACTAGACTGGAACTATCTTGATTCAAGTCTAGGGTTCTTTAATTGTGAAAAGCCAAAAATATTTCTATTACATTTTTCAAACCACTGTAACTCTTCTAAGCTTCAGAAGATTTTGCTATCCAAAAATAATTTAAAAGGGTGGATAACAGTATGTCAGATTCTAGCTCCACTTGAATCACTCTACTCCAGTTTTCCTCCAAGGATCACAACAGATCACTGGCCTAATGAACAATATAAGAACTGTGGGTCTGGTGCAATGGCCTAGTGACTGGATCCTTGCCTTCAATTCAATGGGATCCCATATGGGTATCAGTTCCTGTCCCAGCTGCCCCACTTCTATCCAATTCCCTGCTTGTGGCCTGGGAAAGCAGTTGAGGATGCCCCAGGGCCTTGGGATCCTATGCTTGTGTGGGAGACCCAGAAGAGGTTCCAGACTCCTTGTTTCAAATTGGCTGAGCTCTGTGTTGTGGCCACCTGGAGACTGAACCAGCAGACGGAGGATCTTTCTCGCTGTGTCTCCTTCTCTCTGTATATCTGCTTTTCCAATAAAAATATAAAATAAATCTTAAAAAAGAAAAGAAATAAAGGAGAGCAAGAAAGAGAGAGAAAAACAAAGAAAGAAAAGAAAAGAAAGAAAAAAAGGAAGGAAATAAATGAGGCTCAGGCCAAACCCTGTGGAAATACTAGTCCCACTGGTTAGCTCACAAGTTGCGGTGGTGATGGGCTGAGCTAGGTGTGACCATGGAACCTGTCATCACTCACGGGTAAAAGAACTGACAACTGTCTGAGCTGGTCAAGACAGCAGCACCCAAATGTGCACCCTAAAACAGGGTGTGGGGTGGGCTGGGCAGCAACATCCACTGCAGGTTACTGCGGGTCACTCCGACTAGGCTGCAGCTCCCAATGGTTTCTGTGAGGGTCGAGTGTGCTGGGCAGAATCAGGCTGGACTGCAACACCCACTGGTTCCAGTGAAAGACAGGGCTGGAAATAGAACTGACCCAGCAATTGCAACCACCAGTGGATCGGGGCAACAGACTGTGCCAGATCTTGTACTGGCAAGCACACACAAGAATCAGGTCTGGGATCACCTAAGACAAAGTTTCTTCAGAGGTCTCTCCAACTGAACTGCTGATCTCAGAACCCCAACCATGAAGAGAAGTGCAGGTTCCATGGTCTGGCCATGGAGTGCAAATGTCAAAGCTGAGCCTCCTCAGAGGCTCAGACGGAGCAGTGGACAGCATAGCCAGGTGCACATGGAGGATATGGCAGTGCATCAGAACCTGCAGAGGACACGTGGTACCACAACAGAGGATGGAGGACAGAACAAACTGATCATCTACTCCAGCTATGTGTTGACAGTGAAAATCTAGGCAAATGGAGACTCTAAGGTGAACTATGTCAGCCAGTGGATTCTAGAGAGATTTCATCGTGTTTGGAATGGCGAGATTGGCAGCAATTCAGAACCGCTGAATTATCAAAACCACTTGAGCAGGACCCTCGGAGCATGGGGGACCTGGGATGGGTGGGAGGCTGTGAGGGGCTTCTCCTTTTATCTCCCCTTTATCCAAGATACAGAAAAAAAAAAGAGCAATAATGTGGAAACTATGGTCTTACCCACTTTCCTGTAGCCCTTGCCTCTTTGTGTCCTAATCAACTATGTAAATTGTGTCAAAATAAAGCAATTTCAAAAAAAAAAATAGAAGAAAGAAAGAAAAGAAAAGAAAAGAAAAGAAAAGAAAAGAAAAGAAAAGAAAAGAAAAGAAAAGAAAAGAAAAGAAAAGAAAAGAAATAGGGCCCAGGATGATAGCTTAGTAGCTAAATCTTTCCCTTGAATAGACAGGGATCCCATATGGGCGCTGGTTGGTTTCCCAGCTACTCCACTTCCCATCCATCTCTCTGATTGTGGTCTGGAAAAGCAGTTGAGGACAGCCCAAAGCCTTGGGACCCTGCAACCATATGGGAAACCCAGAGGAAGTTCCTGGCTCCTGGCTTTGGATCAGCTCAGCTCCGGCCATTGTGGGCACTTGGGTAGTGAATTAGCTGATGAAAGATCTTTTTCTCTGTAAATCTGCCTTTCTGATAAAAATAAATAAATCTTTTAAAAAATAAAAATTTTAAAAATTTAAAAATAACTGTTCACAACTAAATGGAGGGAGTTTTTCATCTACAGACTATTGACATGGATAATACCATACCCATACCTGTCAATGTCATTTTAGTTTAATACGCCAGTGAAAGCTAAAGGAATTTTACAACCATATATGCAATATTTCAAAGCATGCAAAATTCCTATGAAAGTTTTAATGATGCATATTATTTCCAGATGTGTTGCTACTAGGCTGAGAGAAGATCAAGTCATGCCTTGAATTAATTATAAGGAAAAGACTGCAGGAATAGTAAGTAAAACATACTTTTATGGAAACCCTTTAAAACTGGATTTTAATTTGTGCAATAAATCTCTGTGCTCTTGAATTAAGGCACTAACCATATCTCATGAGTAATAAAACCATGGTATACTTCTAGGTCACTTTTTAAAAAAGATTTATTTATTTTTATTGGAAAGGCTGATTTACTGATAGGAGGAGCAAGGAGGAATGCTGTCTCCTGGAGTTCTGTTCAGATTAGGTCATCAGGAAAGTACAAAAAAATTTTCCTTTCCCACTCCTTAGCTTCTTATCTTGCCACGTGATTGCTCTTATTCTCACCAGAGGCAGAATTCATGGGCCTGTCCAATCTCGGACCTTGGAGACTAATACATTTTCCCTTTCTGGAATGTCAAAGAACCACTCTCTGGAAACTCAACCCTCTATGGAGCCTCCTTTCATCATCTGAAACACAGAGAAGCTTGGGCAAAAACAAAGCTCTCAAGAATGGCTCACAGTTAATCTACTTCTGGACAGTCAGCTTTTAAGGATCTATAGTTTGCCACTGAGGTCTATCAAGAACAAATAATAAAGAAAAAAGAGATATATATTGTCTTAACAACTTAATACGTTCCATTCCTGGCAATAACACCTTCTTAATAACATCATTTTCTGCCTTCCATATACTGGCCACCTTTTTCTCTTTCGCATCCCAGGAGACTGTTGTCCACATTCCTGCAAGAAGAAATCTTTCCTTTCAGTCTTGTTAGTGCCTAAGATGTTGGATAACAATAGTCTGATTTTTAAAGTCTTATTTTTATTGGAAAGGCTGATTTACAGAGAGGAAAAACAGAAAGATCTTCCTTCTGCTAACTCACTCCCCAAGTGGCCGCAACCACTAGAGCTAAGCTGATCCGAAGCCCAGAGCTTCTTCTGGGTCTCCCACATGGGTGTAAGGTCCTAAGGTTTTGGGCCATGCCCAACTGCTTTCCCAGGCCACAGGCAGGAAGCTGAATGGGAAGTGGAGCAGTCAGAATACCAACTGTCACCCATATGGGAACTTTAGCCACTAGGTTACAGCACTGGGTCCCAACAACAGTTTTTCATAAAACTTGCAGCAATCTAGTTAATGCTTATATTTGTCCTTATTATCAGATTTAAGAGCCAGATGTAAGGTCTTTGGGGTTTTGTTCATTTTTATTTTTTTTTAAAGCTTTATTTATTTTTATTGGAAAGGCAGAGTAGATTTATGGAGATGAGAGACAGAGAGAGATCTTCAATCTGCTGGTTCATTCCCAAATGGCTGCAACAGCCAGAGCTGAGCTAATCCAAAGACAAGAGCCAGGAGCCTCCTCTGAGTCTCCCATGCAGGTATAGGTTCCCAAGGCTTTGACCCATCTTCTACTTTTATCCCAGTCCATAAGCAGGGAGTTAGATGGTAAGTAGGACAAGAACCAGTGCCCACATGGGATCCTGGAATTTGCAAAGAGAGGATTAAGTCACTGAGTCATTGTATCTGGCCCTTTTGTTCATTTTTAAGGACAAATGTTTAGTTCATAAAATCTTTAAAAATTCCATCATCCCATTTATAATTTTTGTTTCACAGAGTTTAAATAAATAATCACACTACTTCGATTATTAAAATTTTACATTCTAGAATTTATGGGTAGTTTACAGTTTATCATTTTTAAAGCTTTTTTTTTTTAAAGATTTTGATTTGAAAGGCAGAGTTACACAAAGAAAAGGAGAGTTCAAGAATTTCCATTCCCCAGTCCCCTCCTCAAATGTTCAAAACAGTCAAAGTTAGGCCAATCCAAAGCCAGCATTCAAGAGTTTATTCCAGGTGTCCCATGTGGGTGCAGGGACGCAGGGACTTCAGCCACCCTACACTTTTCTCTTGGGCCATAAGCAGGAAGCTAGATCACAAGTGGAGCAACCAGGACATGGGTGACCATGTGGAATGTTGGCTCTCAGGTAGAGGCTTAATGCGTTACACCACAGTGCTAGCCCCATTTTAATATCATTTTAAAACACCTGAATGAAAAGGCTCATATTAAGTCTACTGGGATCTGATCTAGAACCTGTGAGGAATGAATGATTATTTCCCTGTGGGGGAAGGCCTTTTTAATGGCTTCATCACTATTACTTACAAGTTCCTAAATTAACTAATTTACAAATAGAACTTGATAGCCTTGAAGGTAGAATAAGTCTAGGGAGATTTTTACTAACCATGAATTTCTCATTAAAAAAAAAAAAAAAGACCCAGCTTCTGGCGTTTGTGTCTAGAAAACACTTGTCATGCAATTCGCTCTTATTATATTTATGAGTTTGGTTTAGGTTTTTGTTCTCTTCTTTGTAAAGAGAAATTTATAGTTAACTTAAAATCAATACACAAATCTGCTAGAATTGTGAAGGTCCACAACACAGTCGATGTCTGAGACATTCGGTTACCCATTGGACAAATGGAAAGGCATGTGTCCAATTTTTTAGGATGGCAGGCAATTACGGGTAGAGTTCCTAAAAACAACAACTCATCAGATGAACAGTATCCAGAGGAAATGCCTCTAGGAATAGTGGCCTCTGATTCTCTATATTTAGGTTTATTAATTCCACCAGCTTGGTCCCCACAGCTAGACACAACACACAATTTATCCTGTATTTTAAAAAAAAGAAAGCACTCACCAAATTTAGAGAATTTGTATCCAAAGACTCCAAGTTCAAGCTTTGCACAACAGTGTGCAATGTAAGGAGCAAGTTGGCACTAAACAAGGAATGGCACTACAGAGTACTCACATATTTTCAATACCAAGTACACTATTCAAGCATATTTGCTTTTTATTGACCTTGCTTTAGTCACCAACTCTGCAATAGGATTTGCTTACAGGTCACCTTGGTTATAGGCAAGGTCATGTCATGGAAGCAAACAAGCCTGAAAACTCAGGGAATTAATACAACAAAAATGTATATGCTGTTCATGGAAAATCCTCTGTAGCTCAGGCAATTTTCCTAAAGTAACAACTGAGTATTCTAGGTTCTATCCATTTTGTGTCACCACCATTTCAAATGCAGCCTTCAAACTCTCTCACCAAGAAAAGTCAAAGCATAGAGTCTCCTCCCCCATGTTACACTTTGACCACTTTATTTGTCTCAAGGAAGGAAAAAAAAACAATAAAAATCAATTAATGCAAATCACAATTTCAATGTCTACTGAGAAAATGATGTGACACAGGTACTAGTATCTTTTCTTGAAACTGGAGAAACCAAGGTTCAGAAATTAAAGTAACTTCTCCCCAGCTAGAACGTGGTAGAGACATGACAGAGAGTCACCCTGCATCACTGCAACCTGTTTGATGTGCACGTGGAACATGCACCAGATCACTACCTTGACAGTTAAAATCAGCAAAGAAGTTAAAATTTTTCATTGGCATTAATAAGATTGTACTCCACCCTTTAAACAAACAATTTTATCACAGGTTATCACTGATAGCCTATGTTATTTATATGCTTATGTCTACCTACTCCCTTATAAAGCCACCAGGATTTAATTACAGTAGAATCTTCCCTAACAACCTAATCAATCCAATCACCACCCAAAGGCCCTGGCTCAAGACACCATAACAGGACTAAATTTCTGTTATTTTAGGGTTGTTAATGTAAGAATCTGGAAACTAATTCTTTTAACACAAAGGCCTTTGGGAGTCCTTCAACATAAAAATTAACATTCAAATCACAGAAATACTACATAGGTTTCAGTTTTCTTTTCTATCTATTTTTAAGATTAACTGTCTCAGTTCAACCTGTAACACAAAATAGTTGCAGTGATACTTCCTAGGTAACTTAGATCTGGATTCAATGCTACCTACAACTATTATAAATCAAGTTGACAGATGCACTATTTTGACATGAATTTTCAAACAGCACACAGACCACCCACTCTGGATATTCTAAAACCTAGCCCTTGGTCAAGTAGGAACAACAGAAACTAGAGTACATAAACCACACTATATTGACTACTTAAAAATTGCTTTCTGCTGAATTATGCTCTAACAACAGAAAGAATCCACTCTGAAGACAGTGGGATAGCACAATATGCCTCCAGTTGTGGTGCCAGCATCCCATACAGACAGCAGTTCAAATCCCAGCTGCCCCACTTCTGATCCAGCGCCTTGCTAATAGGCTGGAAAGGCAGCAGAGGGGGGAACTCAAACGTTGGGCCCTGCATCTATGTGGGAGACCCAGAAAAGCTCCTGGCTCCTAGTTTTGGACTGGCCCGAATCCAGCCATTGTGGACATTTGGGGAATGAACCAAGAGATGAAAGATATCACTGTGTGTCTCTCCTTTTCTTGTGTAACTCTGCCTTTCACATAAAAATAAATAAATCTTAAAAAAAAAAAAACTCAGAAACAATGGCTACCAAGATAAAATCTAGCAAAGCTGAATAACTTTCAATAGTATTCATATTTTTGAATAAGAAGTTTTGTCTGAACTTCTTATCATCTAGTATTAAAGACTAGACAGCTCAGGGGTTGATGGGGTAGTACAGCAAGTTAATCTTCTACCTGCAGCACTAGTACCCTATATGGGTGCCAGTTCACATCCTGCTCAACTTCCAATCCAACTTTCTAATTATGCCTGGGAAAGCAGTAACAGATGGCTCAAGTCCTTGGGCACCTGAACCCATATGGGAGACCCAGAAGCAGCTCCTGGCTTCTGGCTCCTGACTCCTGGCTTCAGATTACCACAGCTCTGGCTGTTGTGGCCTTTTGGGGTGTGAACCAGAGGATGGAAGATCTCTCTATGTATCTCTCTTTTTCTCAGTAAATCTGTCTTTAAAATAAAAATAAACAAATCTTTAAAAAAAAAAAAAAGAGTTCAAAGCTAAATTTACAGCTTATCAACTTACCACAACTATGATTTCTTTTACATCCACTCCTATGTTTGCTGTTTTCATTTTTAAAGATTTATTTATTATATATTTTGGAAGTCAGAGTTACACACATAGAGAGAGAGAGATGGACCTTCTACCTGCTGGTTCACTCCTGAGATGGCCTAAACAGCCAAGGTTGGACCAGGCTCAAGCTGCAAATCAGGACCCAGGAGCTTCATCTGGAACTCCCACATGAATGGTGGCAGTCCAAACACTTGGGGCATCTTATGCTAATTTTCTCAGGTTATTAGCAAGGAGATGAACTGAAAGTAGAACAGTTAACATGCTAACATCCTAAGTGATGGCTTAACCTGATATGCCGCAATGTCAGCCCCCTTTTTTCCTTCCTTCTTAGATTCCTAACTATTTTGTAATAACATAGTCGCACATAATGTCCTGACAGGAACACATTCTGACAAATGCATTGAGTGGTGATTTTGCTGTCCTAGATGAAACAGGTCAATGACTTGTTATAGTTATTTGATGTGATCATGAGACATAGTAAAGGTAAGGCTGGTGCTGGCCTAACACAGGATACTAAATAGGAGTACTCTTTACAACAATGCTGAAAAGTATACTATAGTAAATCATACATTAGTAATACAGTCATTTAGTATCATTATCAATATTACACTTTACATAGTTATACTTATTATATCTTTTTATGACAAGTAACAATGAATTTGCGAACACCAGGATCATTACAAAGATGTGAAGAACACAATGTTACAACAGCTATGATGTGAGAGTAACAGGAATTTTCAGTTCCTTAAAAATACTGTAAGATCACCATCACATAAATGGTCTAACACTGATCAAAATATTACATGGTACCGTGAAAGTATACAGTATTATAAACTTATTTAAGTCCTTTTCTCAAACAAAGCAGAGGAATGTTTGAATAAAAAGACCAAGATAGTTTCCCTTTAGAGGCTCTAGATGCAATTAACACTGTGACAGAACTAAGTATGCGTGATCATTAAAGGTTCAGGATGAACTATAGCCATGTGCTTTTATATGAAAGAATTAAGGCATTTATATTTTATCTCGGTTAGGTGACTAGGAGTTGCCAAATTCTGTTATAAAGAAGTCTATAGCTATGTGGTTGAGCTGGTGTTTCTAACTATGTGGTTGAGCTGGAGTTTCATGGTTCCAAAAAGTACCATGATTAAATGATTGCTACTAAAACTGCAACTACTCAATACATTTTACCTGGTACACATTTCCTTTCTGAGCCAGAAGCCTTTTGGAAGACAAATCTGATTCTGTGATCAAAGGATGAGCACCAGAGTTGTCATTTTTGGTTACAAACTACCTAAACAAGGAGTTACTTATATAGAGAGGAAAGGTGAAAGGAAGCTTAACTTTGAATAAGTACATGCCATTTTCAGGGCTTGAAAAGGACTTAGGAAGAAAATAGAGAAAAATGTGCCCTAGGAATAGAGACTGCATACCTAACAGAGTGAGTGAGATGAGAATTATTTGGGAGTTCACTAATAGTGGCAGAGAGGTACAAGAGAAAGAAATATCATTTCAAAAAATTTCAAAATTAGCAAGGTAGAAGTTGTTAACACTTCAATGCTATTAAAAAAAAAAAAAGCCAGGGTAAAACCAAAACTGCTGCTGAGACCAGGCAGGTAAGCAATGAGTTGTTCTGGGTACGTTTCGATCGGTGTTAAAACCATGAAATGCTTCTGCTGACTACTGAGCTGAAGCTCCAGGAAAAGGAAGGAGTCTATATGACCAAATACAGGAATTACGCATCCTGAAAACTGAAGAGAAAAGGGTCTACCAAGAGAACCTTCAACAACAGAAATTACTAATACAAGAATCATGACGGATTAGACTTTTCAGCCTCAGCAATTGATACCTGCACCTGGGTAATTCTTTATGACGAAAGGTTGCCTTGTGCGCCGTAAGGTGTTCAGTAGTTTCCCTGGCCTTTACCCTCTAGACAGCAACTGCATTTCAATCAGTTGAGATTAGTATAAATGTCTGTGGGTTTTGACAAATGTCTCCTGGAGGGCCAAATCACCATTGTGCAAAACCATTGCTATGGATGAAAGGATAACAAACTGCCAGGCTGAACTTATTTTCTTGGTCATAACATCCCCAAATCATCTCACCTTCCAAACCAGAAAACATAGATTTGTGTGAAAAACAGCATTTTCAATTTTGGATGTGTTGAAATCTGAAATGTCAAACGGAGATGGCCAAAAGGTACCTCAATATGTAAAAATAAACTAAGAAAAGAGACCATGGCTAAAGAATCAGACCAGAAAAGCATTAGCTATATTAATATCGCTGAGAAAGATTTTTTGCAAATATTCAGGCAACATTAAATCTTCATAAGAGATAACGATTATTTTCCTACCCCAGACTTACCTAGCACCTAATTAAAATAGAAGCCCAGACTGGTGAAATGGCTCAATTGGTACTCCTCCCCCTTCAAGTGCCCAGATCCAACATGGGTACCAATTTGTTCCCTGAGGCTTCAGATTGGTTCAGCTCCAGCCATTGTGGCCATTTGGGGAGTGAATCAATGGATGAGAGATCTTTATCTCTCCATCTTTCCTTCTCTCTGTAAATCTCCATTTCCAATAAAATAAATAAACCTTAAAAACAAAAACAAAAAAAGAAAAAACAAGATGCCCATGATGGGTTTGCGCAACAGTAGGGTAATATACTCCTGCACAAATTTTGCCATCATCTGGACAAACCTGTCATAGGCTAGGGTCTTCAGTTCAGAGTAAGCTCTCATGTATCTTTACTAATTGATACTTTGTAATAATTCACCCATTTAGCACTATCTCTCCCTTTTGTCTGCTTCCAAATCCATTGTTCCTATTCTTTCTGCTCTGAATAGTTAACTCATTCTTTGTTGCTGCAGATTCATAATTAGTATAACTAAAAGCAGATGCAATTCCCAACATTAAGAATCATATCCAAGTGGGTTTTCCAACATTTCTATTAAAATAAATTCTAAACCAAAACGATGAGAGACTCCAGGCAGATTACTTTCTAGCTCTAGTAGAAAACTAACAAACTGTCTGAATACACCTCAGTTCAAAAACATATTTTTCTGAATGACTATTTTTGATTGAGATGATTTATTTAAACATACTTTTCCAAGAAATTAGAAGACTTGTTTCCACATATGCATAAGTGTGTTTGGTAAAAACACATTCAAAGTGTTTTATGAAGAGTTACACAAAAACAGCAGTGAAGAAACAATTTTCCTCACACCAGGAACCCAGAACTTCATGCAGGTCTCCCACATGGGTGGCAGGAAACCCAAGCATCTGAGCCCTCATCTGCCACCTTCCAGGGTGCACATCAGCATAGGGATTAGAGCAGGCAATTCCAGGTGGGTTCCAGGTGGTCATTTTACTGCACCACACACCCACCTTTATGCTTAGTTTAAATATTTCCCTTGTGAAGGATTTTCCCCTACCTGCATGCTCTTTAATTTTTTAACTATCTAAAAAATACTTTTAGTAAGTGAAAAAATTGCTTTTAAATTGTCATTTAAAATGTCATTCAATTCACAGAATATTCACTTAGGTCACTCCCAGTTATAGCAACAGACTGGAATACAATCAGCAAAGGTAAGTAACCTAGCTTGAAATGCAAGAAATGAAAAAGTAGCTGAAAGCATGTAAAAAGTGTTCTTGTTTCTTACCGATTCGTTGCTGTAACAGCCCAGAGGAATGTGAGGCACGAGCACAGAGCATTTGTTCAACAGGGGACGGAAGTCTTCTCCAGTTAGTAAACTCCAAAGTGAAAATTAGAGTGTCATCGCTGACTGAGTCAATCCTATATTGTCAACATGTTAGCAAGTTATTAGACACCAAGCATTCATCTTGGAAACAAACAACACACACATTTTTACATCTTGATGAAGAAGGCAGAAAAAAATTGAAGCACAGGAATATTTATTTAACTGAAGGCTAGTTCAATAAACATGAATAATCATCTACAGGTCTCCACTGGAAATTGGATTGATTCTGAGTAGTTGTCCAGGAGAAGAGGAAACTCTGCCCTCAGGAAAAGGGAAATCAAACAATCTCCTTGGTTTCCAGGAGTCCCAAAGCAAAGGATACCTGGTTTTAGTTCCTTATTTCTTTCGTGTGTGTGTGTGTGTTCTGCTGTTTGATTTTATTTTTGATGATGCTTATGTAGTTGATTAGGGTGGGAAGGGTTGAGGATTAGGGTTGAGACCACTGTTTCCAAATTGTCATTTTCTTCCTGAATCAGGGGGAATTGGGGAGGAGAAGGGGAGAAACTGCGCTCAGCCTCTCAACCACCTGAGCACTGGGGATAGGGAACGGCCACTAGATGTCATCCCAGGGTCCCCTATGGGCAACATGCTCTGAGGGTTCTGCTCAAGTGGTTTTGATAGTTCTGAAATGCCATTGATCTCATCAACCCAAGGATGAGGAACTCCTTCTAAGGTCCAGTGGCCTACACACACCACCTTAAAGTCTCCATTTGTCCAGACACTTTGCTGTCAATGCTTGGCTGGGGTAGTTGATCAATTTGTCTTGCCCTCCTTCTTCTGCTATGATACCAGATGTCCTCTGAAGGCCCCAATGGGCTGCCATATCCTCCTTGTGCATCTGGCTATCCATCCACTGCTCTAAGTCACTGAGGAGGCCCAGTTCTGACACATGCACTCCACGATCAGACCACAGATCCTGTCATTCTCCCTATGGTTGGAGTTCTGAGTCCAGCAGTTCAGTTGGGAGGAATCCCCAAAGAAATCTCATCTAAGTGATCCCAGACCTGAGTCTTGTGTGTGCTTATCAGTACAGGATCTGGTTCAGTCCACCACCCACATCAGGCTATGCACACTCTGGTAGTTGCAGTTGCTGGGTTAATTCTGTCTTTGAGGATAGTCAGTCTGCCTTTGGCAAGATGATTTAATCAGGAGGAGATAATGGAGAACCCACTGTCACTGGGACTGTCTGCACTGAGGAGATTTCCCTTTTTCCTACATAAACCAATGGATGCTGCAGCCTAGTCCAACCTTGCCCACCACATACTCAGCCCACATATACTCCAGTGGGAGCTGCAGCCCAGTCAGAGCAACTCCGAATAACTCTAACTAGGCCTGTCCCCAGCCCTGGTGCCTGTGCTTGCCAGTTTGTGCAGCAGATTGGTCCAGTCTGTCCCACATCCTATTCAGCTCTCATATATGTCAAGAGGCATTGAAGCCTAGCTCAACCCAACTTACCCCTCTATCCAGCCCAGACTCATGCTGGAGGGTGCCAATACCTGTCTAGCCAGGCCCACCTCCAGCGCTGGTTCGCATTCTCACCAGTGGGAATTGTAAGCCACTGTTCCCCTACCAGGCTCATTCCCAGTGTCGGATCTTGCACTCTCCAGGTGGTTCTGCAGTCCAGCTTGACAGGATTTTCCCCCAGTCCCAGCATTTGCCAGCTGATGCTATGGCAAAGCCCAACCATGCTGCTCTTACTCTGGCCTACACCTGACCAGTGAATACAGTCAGTCCAGTGTGGCTCTCTCCTAAACCCAGTTCACAGGCAGGCCAACAGGTGTTGTAGCCCTGCCTGACCTGATCTGTCCCCAATCCCAGTTCTCATGCTCACCAGTAGGATCACTGGCCCAGCAGGGGAACCACCCTCATCCCCTATACCAGGCTTGCACTGCCTCATTCCAGGTCTAACGTGTGCCTGGTCTGCCCCATTTCCAATTCATACTGGTTGGTGTTACAGCCTAGCCCAGCCTAGCCCAGCCTAGCCCAGCCCAACCCAGCCAGCCCTAATATGAAATGGTTGGTACTGTGGCCCGATCCAGTGGGTGAAGTGAACTGGCCCAGCCTGGCTTGCCGCAGACCTGAGCTAAAGGTAAGTCCGTGGGTGCCATAACCTGTCCTGACCTGGGTTGCTTCCTTTCTTGGTTCTTGCGCTCACCTGCCGGGACTGCGTCCTGACAGAGGAGTTCCCCAGGATCCTTCATCAGAACCTCTCCCCATGTCAGATCTCATGCACACTGGTGGGTCCATAGGCCAGTCCTACTCTGTTCACCTCTGGTCACAGCAAGATCAGTGGCCTTTCCTGACTGGCCCTCACCCTTTCTGGTTCTTACTCTTGGGTGCTACAGCCCAGCCAAGCCTAGTCCACACCCAGACACAGCTCATGTATGACTCTGCAGGGACAGAGATCTAGCCCAGTTCATCCTATACGTACCCTGGGTGCCGGAGTCTAGCCCAGTCTGGCATACCCCAAACCCAGTCCACATCCATGCCAAGAGACACTGTGGCAATGTCCAGATCAGACGACAGCCTCTGCTCTAGCCCCCGTCTCACCAATAGGAACCACAACCCAGCCAGAGCATCCCCTTAGCTCCCCAACCAGGCCTGTTCCCAGCCATAGCTTCCACGTGCACCAGTAGTTGCACTGACCCTCACCTGTCTTAGCCTTTGCCATGGGATGCTGTAGTCTGGCCTGGCCTGGCCAGCCATCCAGTCCCAATTCTAGCTGGTGGGCGGTACATAATAGCCCTACCAAGTCTGCTCCCATCCCTGGTTCATGGAAACTGGTAGGTTTGACAGCCTGGCCTGACATGTCCCGCCCTCCACCCTAGCTCCTGTACCTGCCAGTGAGCTAAGGTTGGTCTAGCCCTACCCAGTCTACCCCCTTCAGAACCAACCCACAAAACTGCCAATGGGTAGAGCTACCTTGCCTGGCCTGACCAACACCCAGGCCTGAATCACATGCTCACCAACAGGAGCTATGGCCCATCAGAAGAGTTTCCCAAGTTGCCCCACTAGGCCCACTCCCAAACCTAGATCTCACATGTGTCAATGGGCACTAGGCCCTTTCCTGGTATAGTCTGCCACCCTGTTACCTGGCCTTTGTATGAGCTAGTGGATGTTGAAGCCTTGCCCACCCCACACTCTATTCTTGGGTGCACATGCATGTGCTGTAGCCTGGACCAACCCAGCTGTTCCCAACCCAAGCACCCCCCCCCCCCAAGTATGAGCATCAGAGTGTTCCATGGTCATGTCTAGCTCACACCGGTAACTTCCTTCCACTTTTATGAAGCTGGAGCCATGGTTACACTCTCTTCTTATGAGCTCTGGGGTCTAGTGACTCACACAGCAGACTGTCAGAGCAGACCAGAGACCAGTGTATTTAGGTCCCAAGGGCAAGTGGGGAGGAGGCAAGGAAAGGCCCCAGGCTAGCATGGCATACCCAAGGGTCTTGCCTGAGGTCTTGCACATGTACTTTTGTCCCAGACAAGTGGAGAAGCAGGTTCCCAGACCTGCACATGTGCCTGGGGACCAGGTCTGGGAACCCACCTATGATCTGGGTCTCTGGTAGGCAGGCAGAGCTCCATGTCAGCATACCATCCCACCAGAAAACTGGACTTGGGAAGTCCAGGCTGGGGAACCCATGTACTCCCAGGCACAGGGACTATGCATTGCTCCGAGAAGGGAGTGTGGGGATGTGAAGGAAGGAAGACCACTGAGGCAGTATGTTGCAGCTGAGGAATGGCTTTTGGGGCATTTCCTTTAATAAGGCCACTGTACTTGCAAGTAAACAAGAGGGCTGAAACTGAGCAGTCTGGAGAGGGGAAGCTGGAGGATCTTTCTATGTCAGAAGGATGCACTTGCCCACATGGGAGACCTGAGCTGGGCTAGTTAGCATCAACCACAGTCAATGACCACCTACCGGTGCACACAAAAGCTAAGGCTGGCGGCAGGGCTAGACCACAGTACCCACCAGTGAGTGTTGAAACAGAGGATGGGTCACCTTAGGCTGGGCCATGACACTAACCAGCACATGTTAGAACCACGTCTGGGAACAGATTTCTGTGAGGGATATATGAGACCTACTCTTGTGGAACTGCAATTCCCGCTGGTTTTAGTTCCTTATTTCTTTTTAAAATGGTTTCATTTTTCAGCCTTAATGTGTTTTCAGTCTCACTATGACCAAATACAATCATTTTTATGCGGTCATCCAAACATACATGAGAAATAAATTAGTCTGCACAGCTGTAGCTAATATAATTTTATCAACAATATAAATGCCAATGGAAATGCGTTGCTACTGTACATTGACCATTACATTGTACACATTACACCGTACACATGATCATTTATTTATGATCATAAATGAGTGACAGTTTATCAACCACAATGCTCAGATGACATTTGTTTCCTATTATTCTCCCATTACATTCTGGAATAGAAGAGTTAGTTTTGCACTGAAAATTTAAAAAAAAAAAAATTCAGCTTTGTAGATTATATTATGACAGGCAATTATTCAGGCAGATACACTTTTAAGATAAGCAATGACAAAAGAATGACATTTATCATTTATATGACAAAGATTAAGCAACAGGCTTACCTGCGATGTAAATAAGAAACAACAAAAATCCACTTGGACAACAAACTGGAATTTTTATGAGAATTTTTCTTATAATAGTTCTTTGAAAATAAATTTGATCAAAGAAAACAAAACACTTACCATATCTGATATAAATACTGGTATAACCATTCAATAAAAGATTAATAAATAAAAGTGTGACCATGTTGGAATTTTCTTTACTGAAGTAAAATTTTCCAATGTCATTTTTCTAACAAATGCAAAGTAATTAAAAGCTATTCCTTAAGAGTAAAATATACTTAGTTCCCAATTGGATAGCTGAAACTGCCATAATTTACTTCAAAATAATTTAGTTTGCCAGTACTTAACTGTTTCCTGTAACATAGCCAACAAATATAAAGATAGCATAACTCGGTGGTTTATTATCACAAAAGTTTGCAAAACTTCACATGGAGGACTAGAGAGGTTGTTTCTGAACTGGGGCAATGAAGAGTGTGAGGGTACTTCAAAAGACTCATGGAAGGGCCAGTATTGTGGCACAGTGGGTTAAGCTACCACTTGCAGCGACAGCATCCCACAAGGGACTGCCAGTACATGTTTTACATGCTCTACTTCTGATGCAGCTCCCCTCTACTGCACCTGGGTAAATAGTGAGTGGTGTACTTGGGTCCCTGTCATCCATATGAGAGATTCAGATGAAGCTCCAGGTCCTGGCCTCAGCCTGGCCCATCAGCTACTGCAGCCATTTGGGGAATGACTCAGTAGATGGAAGCTCTTTCCAGGTCTCTCCCTCTCTCCCTCTGTCAGTCTGCCTTTAAAATAAATAAATCTTTTTATATAAAAAATGATTTTATGAAGAAATTATTCATGGAATTCAAAAGTTTTTATGTTCAAATCACATCTTTAATTCCATTTTCCAAAAACTTTTTGAAGTACCCTCCCATTTTTCTAAAGCCTACTAAGAGAATTAAGTTAACTTAAGTCTCAGTTTGCTTACTTGGATGTAAGAGAAGGAAAAGAGTCGTTAGTTTTGTTTTTGCTTTTGTTTTCCCTGTAGAAAACCTTATCACAGAAGCAGGATGGAGCAAAAAAAAAAAAAAATGGCACTGATCTCCCAGGTCAGGCAAGGTATTTAAGCACCTAAAAGTTAACAGGGGTCGGTACTGTGTATTGGGTAAAGCCGCCACCTATAGTGCCTATATCCCATCTGGGCACCAGTTTGGATCAATTCCTAGATAAAGGGCGAGTGATGGCTCAAGGACTTGGTTCCTTACACCAACCTGGGAGACCTGGAAGAAGCTCTTGGCTCCTGGTTTCGGACTAGCCCAGCTCCAACAACTGTGGCCATTTGAGGAGAGGAGTGAACCAGCATATGTAAGCTCTCTCTCTCTTTCTGAATGTATATATATCTTTGTAAATGCCTTTCAAACAAAATAAATATCTACAAAACAATGGGTGTGGGCACGGCACTGTAGCTTAATGGCCAAAGTCTTCACCTTGCATGCACCTGGATCCCATATGGGCACCAGTTCTAATCCCAACTGCTCCACTTCCATCCAGCTCCCTGCTTGTGGCCTGGGAAAGCAGTGGAGAATGGCCCAAAGCCTTGGGATCCTGCACCAGGGAACCCTGGAAGAGGCTGCTGGCTCCTGGCTTCAGACTGGCGCAACTCTGGCCATTGCTTGGGGAATGAAACAACAGACGATCTTTCTCTCTGTCCCCTCTCCTCTCTGTATATCTGACTTTCCAATAAAAATAAAGCTTTTAAAAAAAAAGGAAGTATATCACACTGATTAGCAACAGTATTGAGCCACATTAAAGAACAACAGTGATTCCAATCTAAGCAGTGTGCTAATAAGCTATGTAAACCTGTGCTAATACATAAGATACTTCGCACCTCAATTTCTTCTTTGATAAAACAAGAATACAAATACTAACTACTATACATTGTGGTAAATGACAATTACCAGGTGTCAGGGAGTAATCTAAGTTTGGGATAAAGAAATAAACAAATTAGAAAACAAGAAGACTACTGAAATTGGAGTTGGTAATTGATGCAACAATAAAAGTGACATTTGGGATACCTGCATCCTATAGCAGAGTACCCGAGATCAAGTTATAGCTCCTACAGCTTCAACCAAATTCTCTAAAGATCATTCTGGGAGGCAGCAGGCAATGCTCAAATGTTTGGGTTCCTGTCACTGATACGGGAGACCTGGGTTGAAAACCTGACTCTTAACTTTGGCCTGGCCCAGCCCTGGCTGTTGCGGGCATCTAAACCAGGAATAAATGTCTGTCTCAATGTTTATCTGATTCTCATGTAAGAAAATAAAACTGAGGAGGGCAAGGGTCAATGACGCAGATCAAGTCACTTGGAATCAATCAACAGCTTGAATGGAGGAGTGTAGTAGTGTGACCAGGACGAAAGCAGGCACCGTGGGGACAGGTACCACGCAAAGTGAGGGTTGAAAAGGCTGTCTGCAACCACCTCATGTATTAGGATTTACAGCAGTGGTCAGGGAGTAGTTTCTGGAAGTCAAAGGGGGAACTGCTGTCAGCTTTGTAGACAACAGACACAATCATGAAGGCAAAAGTAAAAAGTTAAGGGTACTCAGGGCCCGGCGTGGTGGCGCAGTGGTTAAGGTCCTCGCCTTGCATGGCCGGGATCCCATATGGGCGCTGGTTCTAATCCCAGCAGCCCCGCTTCCCATCCAGCTCCCTGCCTGTGGCCTGGGAAAGCAGTCGAGGACGGCCCAAGGCTTTGGGACCCTGCACCCACATGGGAGACCCTAAGAGGCTCCTGGCTTTGGATCGGCATAGTATCGGCCCGTTGCGCTCACTTGGGGAGTGAATCATCAGACAGAAGATCTTCCTCTCTGCCTCTCCTCTCTGTATATCTGCCTTTCCAATAAAAAAATAATAAAAATTAATCTTTAAAAAAAAAAAAGTTAAGGGTACTTAAACAACTCTGCCAATACCGAGTTACAGCATTCATTAGCAAGTGTTCCATAGCTTACCAGTACGCAAATATATGCATGCATGTACACGCAAGGATGGAGCATTGCTAAGACAAATATCATACACTAATACATTTTAAAACTTAGAGATGCCTCAGTAAATTGACAGTAGTCTTTATACATCTCATTCAACTACCTGAAAAAAAGAATGAATTTTTGCAAAACACTTTTTTAAACAATAAAATACACAGGTTTATTTGCTGTCTGTCTACCTTCTGCAGGACATAAATGCCATCATGGCAGGGACTTCTGCCTGCCTCCAGCACTGCTATATTCCTGAGACTAAACCTGGGGAGCACAAAAACGACAGCTGCCAAGCAAAGTGGCCCAATTACTCATGCACCTGCCCTTCAGGTGAACAGATGCTCCTACCTCTAGCAGTAAGTCGCCTTCACAAACATCCACAGAAAAAAACTGAGCTGTGCGGCTCCAGTGTCAGTCAGTGCCATGCAGGTGAACAACAATGTGGGGTTGGGGAGAGGGAGCCTGGTGTTGCAAAGCAATTTAAAAAGTAGAGAAAGGAATGGCAGACAACTATGTATTTATTATTCAACTGTTGAAGGGACATTAAATACAACTAGGAACTCAATCAGTTATAAACTACTAACAAAAAGTAAGGTGGACTCAAAGGTGTACCTCAACTTTACTTTTATGTTCTCCATCTTATCTACCAGAAGGCAGTTATGATGATGATGCACATATCTGAAATAGCATCAGGAAGAGCATAACACCTCCACTTTAGTAATGGGAGACACAATAAAAAGGTGAGTTACTGGAATACTGTAAATAAAGGGAAATGTCACCAGGTGGAAAGTGGCGCCTTTACAAACGCAAACAAAATTAATAAACAGGGGCCACAGGCAGTGAATGAATGAAGGTCCCTCTCATGAAATATGTAACACTTTTTGCTAATATATAAAAAGCTTCAGTATTTGTCTCTACTTTAATGAACAGTATTTTCTGAAGTTTAAAATGAAGGTTTCTAAATGTTATAATGAAATAATGTATTCTAGGTTTCTACAGACTTTGATTCAGTTTCCTCTCACTGCTACAATTAGGTGTCTCAGGACACTAATAACTTTTTCTATTTTTAAGATTTACTCTTTTTTTTTTTTTTTGAAGGCAGATTTTACAGAGAGAAGGAGAGACAGAGAGAGAAATCTTCCATCTGCTAGTTCACTCCACAAATGGCTGAAACGGCCACAGCTGAGCTGATCTGAAATCAAGAGCCAGAGCTTCATCCCACATGCGTGCAGGGGCCCAAAGCCCTGGGCCATCCTCTGCTGCCTTCCAAGGCCACAAACAGACCTAGTCATGAACCCAGGACATGAACATGTGTCCATAAGGAATGCTGGCAACTGCAGGTGAAAGATTAGTCTGTTGAGTCGACCCCAGAACACTAATGACTTTTGCAAAGACCATGGGGCTGACAGAAAAAAAAATCTTCTTGCCCAAGAAAAATTTCTGACTTCATATTCACATAAATCTCTTGCAGAGGGCTGGCTTCTGAAAACTATCTAAATTTCACAAATTACATCATCATACTTTAGAAATCAGTGCTTATTAAGGGTGATATCCCAATAGAGAAGTTACTGCAGGGCAGGAGTTTTCAGTCTAGGCTGGTGAGGGAAAAGAGAAGTCCCCAAAGTCCCTACAATCATTGTTGTATCACAGAAAGTTTAAGAGCACATTAAGTACCCAGAAGTAGAAAGTTTCCCTCTCTAGAGAGTTCACTGGCATCTATCCCTTTTACTCTCCCTTCTGGGGGTCTTTCATCCCTTGCTAGGGCTCTGTGCTTAATCTAAACCTCACTATTAACAACACCAGCACCAACCCAGCTCAGACATCATAGTCAAACCACACAAGTGGATATCAAGAAATTAGGAACAATCAAATACGACACATTCACTCAAAAAAGGGTAAAGCCTGTGATGGTAGGTCTTCTTACCAAGAACTGCATAGTAGAGTCAGCGGGTCAAATCCAGCAAGCAGGAGATGCGGCAGCCATTCCTTATATTTTGTTTGTGCTTTAACTGCATAATTTATAAATTCAGATATATGGCTCCAAGATGTCACAGGGCAACCTTTCTTCAAGAAGTAGCGAAATACTGAAAACTTTTCATATTTCAGGCAATATGCCAAATGAAGTTCATTTAGCTGGGCTCCATATTGCAAAAGAATATTCACGATTCCAAAGGACTCACAGCTCCATTACAAAATAAGGTAAAATAAAATTGAAAAGTTAGACCTTTACACACAAAAAGTTATTCTTATATATTGTTAACAGTTGTTATATACAACAGAATAACAATTGTTGATGGGAGAGATATTTTTTAACATGACTTATATGACAGAGTTGGAAACTTTTACTTTGGAAATTCCCCAGAATGGTTTTCAGTTTTTTAAAGATTTATTTATTTTTATTGCAAAGTCAGATATATATAGAAAGGAGGAGAGACAGAGGAAGATCTTCCATCCAATGATTCACTCTCCAAGCGGCTACAACAGCTGGAGCTAAACCAATCTGAAGCCAGGAGCCCGAAACCCCTTTGGGGTCTCCCATGTGGGTGCAGGGTCCCAAAGCTTTGGGCTGTCTTCGACTGCTTTTCCAGGGCACTGGCGCCAATATGGGATCCCAGTGCTTGCAAGGTGAGAACTTTAGCTGCTAGGCTATCCCACCAAGCCCTTCAGTTTTCAACAGTTTTTAGTAAGTACTCCCCTTACAGCTTAAAGCAGCTGTATTAATTAAATACACAGTTTTAAAAATTATCATTATTAGAAACTCGTATTTTCATATAATTAAATATTTCAATTCTATCGAATACCTACTAAAATAGAGTTAATAAACAATGTGGTCGGTCTCTAAAGGTCTATAATTCATTCCACACATTTCGAAGATACCACATCCCATGTACACATTTACTAATATACTTCATTGATTCTCCAACATGTTTTTTTTAAGTTTAACAATATTTGCTTTATAATTAATTACTCACATAGCAATTATGGAAATTTATAACTTCATAATCTTGTAAAAACTAATAAATGTCTCCTATCTATTATCATGCCATTTGTTCTTGATGGGAAGCATACCACCATTCATATCATTGTTCTAGAATATTATGACCCTATTCAGATGTATCTTGTTCCTCTGGCTAGCGTCAGACACATTAAAGCTGACAATCTATTGCCTGTAGTCTTGCAGTATAAAACATGCAAAGGATATCCTTCTGAATGAGGCATCCACACAGTTACCACTTTAAATTGATCTCAATCACTTTGACCTCATTTAACTAGGCTCACATTATACTGCCTGTAGTTATCTCTTGTAGATTATGCTACAGAAAAGAGAAACTACACAGGGGCTGCTAAACACAACATTGCATCATCACAAATGTCCTACACAATTTTCAAGAAACTAAAAATAGTACAGACACGTGTATATATATGTACAATTTGGAACCTGTCAATCATTCTTCCCTCAAGCACCTGAAACCATCAGTAGCCTAACCACAGATACACTAGCACTTAAAAGCACACATCAGAGGACATATTTCTGCTACAGAATATAAGTGCATGCTATTAACATCCCCCAATTATGCCTTATGAAATCAGATGCTACAGATAGGCACTCCAGCCACTTTTCATTTAAAAAAAGCTACAAAACCAAGAAAAACTTTCCCCCAACTATAGACAAACTGCCTAGGTTGCCTTGTACCTAGGAAAACATTACACTGTTAGGAGAAAAGCAGTAAGTAGCTAGTGGGCATTCTGAGCCTGGTTAATATCAACTCTGTGTTAATTATACTGGCATGCCAGCACAGTTGCTTATTCTCTCTCTCTCTCTCTGTCTGTCTTAAAATATGGGGAAGGTAGGGAATGTTGTATGCTAACCTATCCCCAGGGTGCTGCACATTGCCCAGGGCAGGGGATCTAGGGACAAATTGGAGTGGGAGAGGCCAAGGACAAGTTTGACAGGAAGGAAAGACTTCTGGGCTCTTCCATAAACCAGGCCACTACACTCTTAGGTAGATGAAGGGGCTGAGATGAGGTAGTTTAGAGTGGGGAACCCTCCCACTGATAAGTATGAGAGCCAGGGCTGACGGAAGGAGGCAACACTTGTCAGCGTATGTATGGGCCAGGTTGGGAGCAGGTTAGGCTGAGCTAAACCATAACTTTCACAGTGTGCACGAGAGCCAGATGATGCAGACTGGGATGGGTTAGGCCACAGCAGAGGTTGGCACACACAAAAGCTAGGGCTGGGAGTAGCCTGCTAGGGATTATTAGGGGTCACCCCAACTTAGCCATGGCACCTGCTCGTATGCATGAGGACTGGGTCTGTGGTGGGTGGGGCTAGTCTAGGCCACAGCACCGATCAGTTTATGAGATGTGGTGCTGGTGTGGAACTGACCACACAGCTGCATGTATCAACATGGGCATATGCTCATGCAGGTGACAGACCAAAACTGACCCTACACCAGGTGGCACGCCCAAAAGTTGAATCTGAGGTCACCCCAAATGAGATTTCCAAGGGGACTCCCAGACTACATCACTGGACTCAGACCCTGGCCACACGGAAAATCTCAATATATGTGGTCCAACCTTGGAGTATATGTGTCAGGACTAGGTCTCTTCAGTGTGATGTCTGTGCAGTGGACAGTATGTCAAACTGCACTCAGGGGACATGATGGCCAATTCAGCTAGGCCAGCAGGGAACATTAATTGCCTAGCCAGAGGATGGAAAGCAGAATAGGTTAGACCAATCTCCTGGCCAGGCTTTGCAACTTGTTCCTGGGTCTGTAGATGTACAAAGGCAGACTCTGTCAACCAAGAGTCATAGGGAAGATTTTCTCAACCCTGAACAACAAAACCAACAACTTCTCAAAAGTATTAAAATCACTCAAGTAGTAGCCTTAGAATACTCTTTCCCACATCAGGGTCTCTAAGTTGTCATCAAATGACCATCCCCCATCCCCAGGTGCTGATGTAGTGAGACAACAGGGAGTAGCCCCCTCCCTCGCTACCCTTGTGGACACAGGAGGGGAAAAATGAAGTATTTGTCCCATCCATCTTCCTCCGTACCTGACCCTCTCCACCCTAACTGGAGACCCACATGGGCATGCATCACTCTCAAGTATGCAAACAAAATGTAGAAGAAAATTTAAAATAAAAAAAAATCTTGATCAAAATTTCAATGTAACACCTAGACATTAGACTCATGCTATGAAAAAATTTAAGGGACAAAGCCAAAAGATAAATTATCCTTCTCTAAAGTGTGAGAGAAACACGGACACATAAATTTTCTAAATTAACAAACTTTACACAGCATTTTTTCCAGGCACTATGTTAAATGTGCTACACACAAGATTTCCCCTCCAAGATAGTCCTTGGAGACTCTACCACTATTTCCATTCTGGATGTAAAACTGAAGCTTAGCCAAAAAAGCTAGTAACTGGCAGAAGTGGAATACGACAACACCAGAATCAAACTGTGATTATGACACAGCAAAATCTTTTTTTTCAAATTGCATTTCATTTTATAACAATGTTTCATAGGCTCTGATGTTGCCCCATCCCCTCCCTGTGCCCTCTCCCCATGGTGGATTGCTCCACCTTATTGCAGTATTACAGTTCAAATCCAGTCTTATTTCTTTCATTGCAAGCATGTGCCATGCATAGAATCCAGTATCTTATTGCCCAGCTGAATTCAACAGTTTCTTGGGGAGACAAACCCTGGTCTGAAGACATAGCTGGCAGAATATCATTCCGACCAATTAAAAGCCATGACATAACATCAACAACAGTTTCCAACAGTATGGGGTTACTTAACAGTGTATTGAGTGACTGATATGTTAGACAATGCGAGTTCTTAACCACATCCTGTGACTACTTCATTAACATTTCAGTTATAGTTTGTATACAACTGGCTTCTATCTATCTTAAATTAGCTATAGGATGCTATTCAGCTGTCTCATGTCTATTTTCATTTTAGTATTTAGCAGCTTATTGTGTTGAAGCATAATTTCTACTGAACTTGGCAGTTTTGACACAGCAATTTCTGAAATATCTCTCTTCTAATTAGGAAAACTGAAGACCTCATGAAATAATCAAATTGAAGCATATTTTAAAGGCAAACATGTGTTTCTGTAGGCACACTGCTTAAAACTTTAGCATCAGAAATTATTTGTATAAAAACAACACTCTATGAAAAAGTTTAAGAAATTACAAACTACAAACTAGAAGAGAAAGATAGAATCATCTTAAACAGAATGTTGGTTACATTTTCAAAGTATATCTCAACGTTTCCTTCAACCTCCAAACACACTTTTGAAGTATTTACTCATTAATCGTAAGGAAGCAAATAATACAAAATGCCCCCCAAAAGTCTATAAATACAAGAATGATAGTATATCTATAATAAATATAAGTTCAGCCTATATCTCTGGGTTTTATAAACATTGTAGATATACTGCCCTCTAAGGAACCACAAGGCACATCACCACAGGTAAAATGCCAAAAAGTCTCCACTAAACAAACCTATTTAACACTGTTCAATTTGTGTTTTTCAGAATTATTTAACTACAGAATTCTATACATCTCATTTAATATCTATTAATAAGCTATGAAGTTAGTATTCTACAAAGCATCCACCAGAAAACCAGCTCTAAACTTCTTCCAGTTATTGTACTCACATTGCCTCGTGTTAAAAGAGGAAAGAGTACACTCCTGGAAAGCTCATGAAAAGACCTTGTACTAAAGCATTAAAATATATACCTAAACCATAATTTTCTATGAGAATAAAAGCACAAAATAAATTGGAGAATCACAAAGAGGATTACTGAGAATATCTCTAATGTACACACACATTCCAGCAATGTACGCCAACGGTGGTGTGCTACATGACCTTGATTACTGCATGGCACTGAACAGAGTAGATTCTTATGCTTAGAAAACTTTAGACTAAAATATAAATTACATGGATACATGTGCATACTTCTTCTAACACTTTAATAAATTCTCCCTCAAGTCCTATCAAATTAAAAAATGCCCTTCAAATATGAGATTGAAAAAATAGTCAATCTAGTTGAACTTACATATCAAGAATTAACCATGACATTAAGAGGTAACATTTTATAGTACAGCAAATAGCATCAGATATTAAAAAAAAGGGAAAATGGGCCCGGTGCAGTGGCCTAGTAGCTAAACTTTGAACGCACCAGGATCCCGTATGGGCGCCAGTTCTAATCCCAACAGTCGCGCTTCCCATTCAGCTCCCTGCTGGGAGCTGGGAAAGCAGTAAAGAATGGCTCAAAGCTTTGAGACCCTGCACCCATGTGGGAGAACCAGAAGAGCTCCAGGCTCCTGGCTTCACATTGGAGCAGCACCAGCTGTTGCGGTCACTTGGGGAGTGAATCATTGGATGGAAGATCTTCCTCTCTGTCTCTCCTCCTTTCTATACATATCTGACTTTGCAATAAAAATAAAATAATTTTTTTTAAAAGGGAGAAATTTAACAGTAAAAATGTATAGACCTTATTCAGGGTTGTACATGTTGGACATTTTGTTCTTGGAAATTCAAGAATGTGCAGATAAACAGTAGTCACATAAAAATGGTACAATAAGAGAAAATTCAACATAAAAACAAAATTTAATTATGCAAATACCTTGAATACTGAAAGCTTATTCAATTAAGCAACAGAAGAGTTAACCAATTTGTTAGCTGACACATTCAAAGGCTGTAACTTTCATTGTTAAATTTTCACTTCAATCATTAGCTGAAGATATCAAGTATTGTCAGATATGCAAAAATATGATAACTACAATGCACACAATGAACTCTAAGAAAGTGTGATAACAATGATTAGGATCAATGAGAATGACAAAATGCGGTAAAAAAAAAACTATGATAAGCCTTGTTCAAATCATCTTCAAATTTCTCAACTTCCCTCCCCTTCCCTATTTCAGTGGCAGGAATTTTTTTTTTTATAGTATGTTCTAACTTAAGTTTAATTACTCAACTATGCCCTTGAAAGACTAGCTACAAATCAGTACAGTATTAACCTTTTGGTCCCAAAGCTTAATGCTCACTACTTTTAAAAGAAAATAATGAATACATTTGGCCCATTCACAAGTTCTTACTTGGAAGAAAACAGCTTATATGCCTTTGTGGCAGCCCCCAAAACAGACCTCAATTGTGCTTTGTAGGAAGCTTGGAAGACCAACATTTCCAAGAGGATCAAAAAGCAAAGCTTGCTAGTTCATGTCTGTGACCATGCGTGCCATATTCCTCATCCTTTATTTATGGTTTATAGCAATTTGATCGACCCTGGGCAGATTTTATTCCAAATAATCATGCTTGGATTTGCCAACCTTCTTAAATATACAAATTAATGTCTTAATCCAATGTTATAAGCTTTGAGCCATTAAAAATTTACATATATTATTCTGCACCAATATTTCGTCTTATTCTGGACTTAATCTATTGATATTTTCCCTTGGATTTTGGTTTGGTTTTTTTACTCTCTTTCCACCTTTTTTTCTATGTTCTATGAAAATTGTTTCTATTGGTCCATCTTCATATCAATTTATCTTTCTTTTGTCACTTCTGTTTTGCTAGAGAATTAATAGGTGAGCTTTTTATTTATAATGCTATATTATTTCAGTTATAAAGTTTATTTTGATTCTTTTTGAAGAGTTTTTCTGCTTAGCTGAAAATTCCTACCTTTTTGTTTATTTCATGTGTTTAGCTTCATTAAACGACGTTTATAATATTTGCTTTCAATTATTTGATATTTACAATAGCTGAATCATCTCAGCATTGGCATTTGCTAGCTGTTGTTTTCCTTCCTGTTCAGTCATGTTTTAAAGAGGTTCTTCATTTGTCAAGTCATTTTAGGTCATGTCTTAGACATTGTGAATACCATGCTGCAGAAACCCTTGATCCTATGTAGGTCTTGTTTTAACTCTTATAAAAATACTTTATTTTAGCAACCTAGTTAGATTCACACTGTTTAACCTTCTACTGGGGATCCAACTCAGTTTATTTCTCAAAGTCTTTACTGTGCTACTTTGGGCCTGATGCCATGATTGTACCACGCAGAGTTCACCCTTAGTCTTTTGTTAGCAGTTTGCATTAAGCTTCCAATAATCTCTATGCATCTGAAACTTTGAGTGAGTGAATCCAAAAACATGCAAACTCATACACAGAAGTAGGGAGCCTTCGTCTTCAGTACATAAAAAAGAAATCAACTGTAGAGTTCCTCAGAAGTATGACTCTGGGGGCTGGCATTGTACGTGGTGGGTAACGTGACTACCTGTAATATCAACATCCCACACAGGTACAGTTTGAGTCCTAGCTGCTCTAGTTCTGATCCAGCGCCTGCTAATGCGCCTGGATAAGCAGCAGAATATGGCCTAATGATTGGGTCCCTGAGCCCACATGACAAACAAGGAAGAAGTATCAGGCTCCCGGCTTTGGCCCTGCCTAGCTCCTAAGATTGTTGCCGCCATTTAGGGAGTAAACCCACAAAAAATTGTCTGTGTGTGTGCGTGTAAGTGTCTCCCTCTGTCTCTCTAACTTTGCCTCTCAAATAAATCTTTCCATTAAAAATATAATAAATATATATATATACACACACACACACACACCTTTGGAGTACTTGCAAAAGAAAAAAATTACTTCTTAAGTCATCATTTAAGAATGATGTAAATATTCTGCAAGCAACAGTAAAAGGATCTCTTGTTCACCAGGAATAAAATATATAAAAAACATTTTTGTGGGGCAGAAGTTTGCCCTAAGAGTTAAGGTACTGGCTGAGTGTCCACTTTCCACATTTGTTTGGTAACCAGCCTTGCCTCCTAACTACGGCATTCTGCCTATGAGGATGCTGGGGGCTGAGGTGCTATCCCAAGTAACTGAACTGCCACCCACGGGGAAGCCCTGACTTGAGTTCCCAGTTTCAGCTTACCAGACTCAGTCCCGGCCACTGAGGACATCTGGAGAATGAAGCGGAAAATAGAACAGCAGCTTGCTCATTCTCTGCTTCTCAAACAAACCCCAAAAACTGATTGAGGTAGTAAAAAAAAAAAAAAAAAAGTGTGACAAATGCTACTAAGTACTATTTCTCTCATTAGATCTTTAATTTTGAAAAGAAAGTCCACGTTTCAACCTCATCAGTAACTGATCAATTAATGTTACTGACAAAAAAAAGGGCTGTCTCCAATAATTTTTTTAATACTGTAAAGATTTATTTTTTTATTTCAAAGCAGAGTTACAGCACAATTGGCACAATTGCCTAGTGGCTCAAATCTTCACCTCACACATGCCAGATCCCATATGAGCGCTGGTTCTAATCCCAACTGCTCTACTTCCCATTCAGCTCCCTGCTTGTGGCCTGGGAAAGCAGTAGAGAATGGCCCAAAGCCTTGGGACCCTGTACCCACATGGGAGACCCAGAGGAGGCTCCTGGCTCCTGGCTTCAGATTGGCTCATCTTTGGCCAGTATAGCCACTTGGGGAGTGAACCAGCGGATGGAAGATCTTTTTCTGTTTCTCCTTTTTCCCTGTAAATCTGACTCTCCAATAAAAAAGAGAAGGAAAGAAAGAAAAAAAGAAAAGATAAATCTTTAAAAAAAAAAAAAAGCAGAGTTACAGAGAGTGACAGAGAAGCCAAGGTTGATTTTCTGTCTGCTAGTTCACTCCTTAAATAGCCACAGCAGCCAAAGCTGAGCTGATTTGAAGCCAGGAGCCTCTAAACGGTTCAGGGGCACCAAGGACTTGTACCATCCTCCATTGCCTTCCCAGGCCACTAGCAGCGAACTGGATGGGATACGGGGTCACTGGGACTCAGACTGGTACACATAAAGGATGCTGGCACAAAAGGCACAGGATTAACAATTACTCACTAGTAATCACTCAGAAGCAATTATGCATTTACTCTACTTCATAGAATCAATGCAGATTAGTGAAACAAATATATATCTTATATATGTGTGTATATATATATATATATATTTGGCAGAACATTTTTTTTAAGATTTATTTTGCATTTATTTGAAATCCAGAGTTACACACAAAGGGGGAGAAGCAGAGAGAGAGGTCTTCCATCTAGCTCACGCCCTGAATGGCCAGACCAAACTCCAGAGCCAGGAGTTTCTTTGGTATTTCCACGTGGGTCAAGGGCCCAAGAATATGGGCCATCTACCACTGCTTTCCGAGTCAATTAGCAAGGAGCTTGGTAGGAAATGAAACAGCCAGGACTCAAACCGACACCCCTGTGAGATGTCAGCACTATAGATGGTGGCTTAACCAACTATGTCACAAACACAGGCCCTAAACAAGTGCTTTTAAATTTAATTCTAATTCACCTCAAGAAATGCACTAAATATGTATAATGCAGTTAGTATCCACATGATTAAGTTTAGCTTTTAGGCGCATAGGAAGTTTTACAAATATAAATTTCAAATGATAAATCACCTAAAATATATAGCAACCGACTTGATAAAAATTCTTGGATTATTCTGAAGAACATAGATATCAGAGAATTATTACATTTACTTTAAAACAATGAACATGTTCACTAAAATTATCACACTAAAAATGCAACCCAGAACCAAAGAAAAGAAAACAACCTGACATTCATTTTACTTTTGCTACAGCTTTAATTAAGAAGGCATCTCACTCAAGAGTTTCACTGTTTGTTAGCAGAATAGCACTGACACATACTAAGTTCTGACAAGAAAGTCACTTTCAAATGCATCTCCACAAAGAAATCAAAATTTAGCAAAAAATACATACTCCTTTTGGAAAGCCATGCACATGGGAGAACTGAATCCAAAGACCAGGCACATCTGGGCATCTGGGCTGTAGCCACTGCGGAGAAGCAGCTCTAGGCACTCTTCATGACCTCCAAACACTGCTGAGTACACAGGGCTCACTTTGTCTGGCCCAGTGTCACAAGCCCGGTTAGTGAGTGGTATCAACAAGTCCAAGATTCTACAAATACACACATTCAGGAAGACGTAATGTTTTCATATGCTTATACAGATGTAGGCAACATTTCCACAGTACATACCTTAAGAATCACCCATAAAGGAGGTTTGTTTGTTTCTTATATTTTGAAAGGCAGGGCTTCAGAGAGAGAGGAAAGAAGAGAGACAGAAATCAATCTTTCATACACTGGTTCACTCGCCAAATGTAAGCCAATGGCCAGGACTGGGTCAGCCCTAAACCAGGAACCAGGAAGTCCATCTTACTCTGCCCACATAGATGGCATGAGTTCACTAAGGGCATCTTGTGTTGCCTTCCAGACGCATTAGCAGGAAAATGGACTAGAGGTAAAGCTGCTAGGACTTGAACCAGCACTCTAATTGGGATACCAGTGCTTTTAAGTAAAAGTTTAACCCTCTATGACACGTTGGCCTCTATAGACGTCTTCTGTCTTCAATATACCATCTAGGTACACTAAATTACTACATGCTACATACTTAATTTCAGAATATTACATTTACTGTCGTTTAACAAAAAGGACCTTAAATATATCTGAAACAAACTAAGTAATAGTCTGGTAAGTGAACAGGTAACCTGTTTTTCCTTTTAGTCTATTTTTCAAAGATTTATTATATTTACTTGAACAGCAGAGAGGGAGAGAGAAGGAGCTCTTCCATCTGCTGGTTGTCTTCCTAGACCAAATTCAAGAGCCTGGAACTCCATCCAGCTCACCACGTGGGTGACAAGGGTCTGAGCACTTGGGCAATCATTTGCTGCCTTCCCAGACACATTAGCAGGAAGCAGGATCAGTAGTACAGCAGCCAACTCTTGAAGCCATGCTCTGATACAGTATGCCAGCATGGCAAATGCAGCCTTAACCTGCTGCATCACAATGCTGGAAGAGCTTGCTCTCTCTCTGTCTTCCTCTCCGTATGAACTCCACCTTTCAAGTAAAAACAAATCTATACCACCTAACACCAGTAAGATGGGCCCACATAAAAAAGAACACCAACGACACTTGTTGGCGAGGATATGGGGAAAAGGGACCCCCACTCCAGTGCTGGTGGGGCTGCAGGTTGGTACAGCCTTTATGGAAATCAGCATGGAGAACACTTAAACAACTCAAAATCTGCATACCATATGACCCAGCAATAGCACTCCTAGGAATATATCCAAAACACCTGTTTCACGAGAAACCAACATGCACTCCTATGTTGACAGCAGCAGAATCAGTAATTGCAAAAACATGGAAGCAACCAAAATGCCCATCAACAGAAGATTGGATAAGAAAGCTTCGGTTCATCTACTCCATGGAATACTACTCAGGTATCAAAAAAAAAAAAAAAAAATGCAGTTCTTTGTGGCTAAATGGGCCCAACTGGAAACTATAATGCTAAGGGAAATGAGTGAATCCCAAAAGGTTAGTTACCACATGTTTGCCTTAATTTAACCTATAATTTTTCTTTTTTTGTTTGTTTGTTTGTTGGTTGGTTTTTGAACCTGTCATTGATACTGTCTCAACCCATGTGTTTTGAAAAATTGAACTTGCATTATTTCTAACATATTGTTTACTCAATACTATGTCAATTAATTCCATAACACTGTATATTGATGCTGATGCTTTGTTGGGGCTTTTAACTGACCAGAACTTTACTCTGTTAGCTCTACCCTCAGACCAGAGAAGGTCTCCCCAAGAAGCCGCTGAACTTATCTGGACAATAAGATGCTGGACTCTATGCTAGGTATATGCTTGCAATGAAGGAAGCTCAACTGAACTTGAACTGTGGTTATGCAGCAAGGTGGAGGAATCCACCATGGGGGGAGGGTTAAGGGAGGGGTGGAGGGAATCCCAGTGCCTATAAAACTGCTTCACATAATACAATGTTATTAACAATTAAAAAAACACTTGTTTTCTCATTAAAGTACCAACTAGTTTTATTTTTCCAATTAGTAAGAACTTTTAAAGAGAAACAAGATATGAAAAATAATATTTCCATCAGGAAGAAAACAGAACTTCTATTAAAATATTTCATTGTCTCAAAAGAACATGAGCTCATTAAAATCTGAGCTGGCTGCCAGGAAGAGAAACTTCTAAAAAAAATCATTAAAAGGTCCTTCTTCAATTATTTGTAAACTTACCTCCAGCAGTCAGTGGGAAAAAGTACAATTCTGATCTTTAAAACTAAAAACTTCAGGAATGAAGTAGGCAAGAAAATTCTTTGTGAGAAAGAAAGAGAGAGAGAGAGACAGATGTTTCAACTGCTGGTTCACTCTACAAGTAGTTATATGGCCAGGACTGAGCCAGACAGGACTGAAGTTAGGATACAGCAACTCCATTCGGGTCCTCTATGTGGACAGCTGGGACCCAAATATGTGGGCTATCTACTGCTGCTTCTGCCACACCAGTGGTAGGAAGCTGGATCAGACGTGGACCAGCCTAGACATGACCTGGCACCCATATGGGATGCTAGTATCATAAGGCGCAGCTTTATACACTATGCTACAACGCCAATCCATTACTAAAGACTTTCTATAAGATTTACTTATATTAACTTGAAAAGTAGATTTTACAGTGAAGGCGATACATAGAAAGATATTTTATCTACTGGTTTATTCCCCAAATGGCCACAGTAGCTGGAGCTAAGCCCAGGAACTCTTTCTCTGTCTCCCACATGAGTGCAAAGGAACAAAGACTTGGGCCATTCTCTGCTGTCTTCCCAGGCCATAAACAGGGAACTGGATTGGATGTGAAGCTGCAGGAATATTAACTGGCACCCATATGCATTGCAGGCAGATGATCAGCTCGCAACACCAGCACACTGGTCTCATAACTAAAAACTTTAAGCAGACATTTTAAAAACTTTTCAGTGCCAATTTATGGCAGGCAGCCATATTTTCATAAGCAAAACCTGATTATTGGCTTATAAACCTCATGGAACTCTTCATTTACTTTTGTCTCTGGAAAAATGCCAATAATTTTATGGAAACTTTTTGTTTTGAAATAGAGTAATGGAACCAGAGAAAAGTAGTGGATTTGACTTGAGATAAAAGAGAAATCCAATCAAAGGGCTTAAGGTGGAGAAGACTACTCAGCGCATGTGAAAGGAAAAAAAAAAAAGATTCTACTTCAACAGAGGTCACAAACTCAAAAATCTGCTGGGACAGGTGGCAATGTGAATAAGGTCATCAGACTGCCCAAGGGTCGTGGGGGTAGGGAGGTTAAGTAGAAGACAGCCAGATTACTCTTCTCCAACTCTTACTGCCTTAAATCAGGAAAGCGTGGGAGACAGATTAGAAGCAGATCTGTTCACCATCAGATTGATAGGGAAAATTACACTGGATGATACCTGTAGATAAAATGCCTGGCCCAGATTGACCTCTTAAGCTTTTTTTAATTTTCTGGTTTTAAAGAACTGTTTGAGAGACAGATAGAAAATCCCCATCTACTGGATCACTCCCCAATATGCCCAAAACAGCTAGTAGGGTTAGAAGTTAAAAGTCCAGTCCTATGAGTGGAAGAAGCCAACTACCACAGCCATCAATGGTCTGTGTTAGCAAGAAGCTGGCATGAAAAGCAAGAACCAGTAAAAGAACCCAGGAAATCTAATATAGGAGACAAGCATCCTAACCAGCATCTTAAATGCTGGACCAGATGGCCACCACCATGATTTTCTGTCTTCTAACACTTACTTTGTATGGCCCATTTGTGCAGCAGCATGAATAGGTAACTGCCAGTTGTCCTCATTACAGTAAAGATCAGGATCTGCCCCACTAGACAACAAAAGCTCCACACATGTCGTGTGACCCTCCTGAGCAGCAATAAACAAGGGAGTAGCTTTGTCCAGAGCTTGGCAATTGACATTTGCACCTAGTGAAAACAAAACATTTAATAGATAATCCGCATGTATGTTAAAAAAGTAATAAATATAAAATCCAAAGCAACTACTCAAAAAGGGTTTTATAGCATACTAGCTTTTTCCTCCTCAGTAGGTGTTCTTACATAAATATACTCCTTTTTGATAACTTATTTAAAGTTTTTGCTTTAATGATAGCAAGAAAACAAGTGATTCATGTTTTAGATTCCTTTTTAAACTACAATACTACTTATTTTTAATGAATGCACATTTCATTCTGATCCTTCCTCAAACACCATAAAGTATATAAAATGAGAAAATGCAAGCCATCAAATACAGATAACATTTCTGATCATTATTTTTAAAAATTCTAAAGCCTAAGTTGTGAGAATTTACAGATGATACTCACCAACGTAGACTAAGATTTATCAAAAGAGATTCCATTAGAAGTAACATAACTAGGAGACTAGGCCTTAAAACTAGTCTTTTTCATATCTCTTCCTTCATTGCCGTTACATGATAAAGCACACAATAAAGGAAAAAAGATATTTTTAATAGCTTTCTAAGCAGATGTTCACAAAATCACAAACCTAATGAAGTATTTACAGGACATGAAAATTTGAAAAGTTGAAAATGACCTTGATTTTTTTATAGAAGTTTTGAAACTACAGAACTGTTCAGATTTCTCTCACTGGAGATGACATATTAAATCTGTTAAGTATGGCATTTACTATATGATCAGAAGAATTTTTAAATTTCTTTAGTATGAGAGCACTTCAGAAAGCTTATGAAAAATATAATTAAAGGTAAGTTTATTTGGTGCAAAATAGTTTGATTTCATACTTTTTTCATAATATAAATTTCCCATAAGTAAGGGGAAAATCTCTATAAGGGGAAAAACTATCTCTAATTAAAGGGATATCCCATTAGTGCACACCGAATAAACCAAAGAACTCAGATAGATAAATAATACGGAAAGCACAAATGGTAATTTAAAGAGTTTAATGGAATCCTGGACAATTCCAAATAAACTAGACAAAATCTTGACTTATTAAGAGGACCTGCTTTCATCTTCATAAAGAATTCAACAGCATTATTGAGAAAAGACTAACTCAACAAAGAAATTTCTTTTCCATTTGAGAATTTCTAAACATCAAAAATAAGAAATCAGTCAAAACAAACTACATAATCCAATACAATTAGAGCCATTTTAAGGAGTTAAAAGCATATATTTACAACACAAACATACCTAAATGCCTTTCAAGGTGCTATTCCCAGTACATCAGATTAAAAGAAAATTTTTAAAAGACCAAAAAAAAAAAAAAAAGGTGCCTAGAACTCCAGATGACAGGAGACAGGTTGGCTGACACAAAAATAGAGCCAATAAGGTCAAGATTAGCCTATTAGCCTATTTTATTCAAATATTACTTTAACACTAATAATTGGAACATACTGGGGCTGAAAGTCATCAACTGAACTAGGCTAGTCCTCAGTATGACATAACAGATGAAGGAAAATCACAAGTCAGAAAGAATGCCTGTTCCAAGTCCAAATTCTGCAAGGAAATAATTCTTCTGGCACTTCAACAGTTAGGGCCTTGCATTCTTAGCCTAAAAAATAACACATCTGAAGAAACTATTTTTGGAGATGCCTCTCAAACATAAGATCTGAGCACTCATTGCTGCCAAAAAAAATCTTGAAGAGAGCACTTAATAAGTGTTTATTGCTTTCACTTCCTATTTCGTTTTAAGTATCTGGAGGTTGATAAAGAGAAAGCATAAATAAGAAAACATGTGCCCAGATGTCTAAGTACACTTTGTCTTGCCTGTCTGGAAATAGTTCCTGACAGCAAACACATTTGTCTTTTCCTTCATCTTCACTATACACGCTTTGTCAGGTTAGGACTATGACAGCATACACAGAGCAGAAGAGGAATTTAAAGTCCTTGCATAATTGCATTTCTGGCCACAAAAATATACAAAATAAGAATGCGACCATGGCACTGTCTTCTCTGGTATCCAGAACATGCAGTGGGTATCACTGAGCAATCTTCAGTCAGCTTTATGTACCCATTAACCACAATATTAAGTGGAAACATGCTTTGAAACAAAACTAAATAATAGCTTAACTATCAAAACCTATAACAAAAGGCTATATATGCAAAACAACCATCTAATAAATTATCTTAAAACAATCATGCACCCTAGGGAGTTCAAACAGCTCACATTCCTATAGAAAACACAGTTTCCTCATTCAACTTGCCAATAAATCTCCTTTAGTGCCAGGTTGTTAGATTCCAATTCGGATACCTACTGACTGGCAATGAATTGTGAGAATAAACACATAATAACCAAATTATAAATCAACTTGTATTTACTCTTAATTACAACGTCTAAAAATCATAAATTTCACAATCATATTTAAAAAGTATTCTTCCCTAAGAATCTCAACAGCGCAAAAGCTAATGGATTAATCTTACCCGATGAAATAAGTATGCTCAAGCTCTCTAGCTTGCCATACTGAGCGGCCACAAACAAAGGTGTGATTCCAAAGTCATCCTGGCACTCCTGGCTTGCTCCTTTCTTAAGCAGCAATTTTATTATCTCAGCATTTCCCTAAGGCAAAGATTCATATTTTAAATAAGAGAATAGAAAGAAAATAGAAGACCTGGTTTTTCTTTCTTTTTTTTTTTAATTTTAATCCACTCTACATTCACAAGTTTAATTTTCAACGAATCAAAATATTCAACAAGTATTTAAAATGCCACAGGACCACATTTCCACTGGAGTACATGCACGAGCTAAAAACAACAATCCTGTAATATACCTCTTAGTTTATTCTATATTAGTTGCCAGAAGGAATATGATATTTGTCTTTTGAGGGAAGGTCTTTTTTTTCTTACTATGCTTTGTCTTTGCTTTTTCTTTTCCTCTCATTAAAGGTAAACTTGAAAACTAAAAACAAAATAAAGCAGACTGGGAGGAAAGGAAAGGGCAAAGTAGATTATCCTATACCTCTCACTAACCCATTAAACATGAACAGATGAAACACATATCTCTAGGAATCCTAGTCCTTACAAAATTCTGCAAAATTAGCTTAATAACCAAGGACTAAGGAGCTATCCAAATTTCTAAACATACTGTTCTAAATAAAGTAGGACACTGTTCTTTGTTGATTTATATCCCACATACTACAATGGCTTCTTAACTATACTATCAACACTTGAGAATTTAGATAATCCCTATAGCCCAAAGCTACTACAGCTACTACAGCAGTTAGCTTATTCAGATTGATCATTAGCATTTAGACTGCCTTTTCAGTATTACACTAACCATCATAAATCACAGGCAAGCGGGAAGCAAAACCAGTACAGTGCTGTCATTTTAAAAGGGTAAAACACACAATTTACATGGAAATGGAATAATAAATTCAGAGCTTACCTGAAAAGAAGCCTGATGCAAAGAGTTCCATCCACACATAGAATGGGATCCATTAACATTTGCTCCATGTCGAAGTAACAGCTTTAATGTATCTATCTGTCCATTTTCAACAGCTGCAATATAGCAGTCAGAAAAATTATTGTCAGCAAAGCAGCATGTCTGTAGGACTGAACATTTCATTGATATCCTCACCACTTCTTCACATCAGAACTCACAATACTGTGATCATTAGGAACAGTTCATCACAATTGTCTCAGTCCAGACCCATTAACAGAAACCTACCACTACCTGTCCACTGGAAAACTATTTTCAGTAGTAAAAGTAACAGAGGAAATGGAAGCAAGAAACAAACATTCATTCTCTCTTATGATGCAGACACACGGTTCTGGTTTACTGAGATACAATTTGGAGAGAGACAGGATGCACAGTTAAGAAGCAGCAATAACAGCTTGATAAAGAGAATAAAAGATTGCTACCATTATCACTTGATCAAAAGTGACATGAGTCACAAACAAAGCAAAAATGCAAATTTTTATACCTCAGATAATTCTTCTCATCATAAACAATAACTATTGTTAAAATGATGCCCTGGGTCCAGCGTGGTAGCCTAGTGGCTAAAGTCCTCACCTTGCATGCACCGGGATCCCATATGGGCACCGGTTTATATCCAGGCTTCACTTCACTTCCAGCTCTCTGCTTGTGGCCTGGGAAAGCAATACAGGACCCTGCACCCATATGGGAGACCCAGAAGAAGCTCCTGGCTCCTGGCTTCAGACCGGTTCAGCTCCAGCCATGTGGCTACTTGGGGAGTGAAGCAGCAGATCTTCTATTGTTTCCCCAGGCCATAAGCAGAGAGCTGGATGAGAAGTGGAGCAGCTGGGAGACAAACTGGCACCCATTTGGGATTCTAATACTTCCAAAGTCACTGTGCCAGGCCCTAGTAGTTCTATTTTGAATAGTCTTGCCTAACTTATAAATTAAACCTTGTTAGAGGTGTTTCTGTTTAGGAAGAAACAATGTCTACAGGGTTCAGCATTATCTGTTCCTTCAGGCATCCACTGGAAAAAGTACCTAGCATGGATGAGGAAATATATAAAAAAGGACACACACATGCACACAACACATTGGAAATAAAGTATATTATGAATGCTATTAAATGACTGCTATAAATGGTAACCTTGGAGAAAGAATAGTGTCTGTTAAGATACGGGTAAGAAATTTTGGATTCATAGTCTTGGGTACCAAAAAAGAGGTTTTAAAACTTTCTATTTTAATTACAACTGTTTTGTTATTCAGTATCTCTGACTATACTAGAAGGTACAATATGGAAATCAAGAACACTCATTCATAAAATTAGAAAGGCACCAGACATTTGAACAATGGGTCACACTTGAAAATGTTAACAAAGATCAAACAAAAAAAGATAAATCCTTAAAAATTTAAAACAAAAATGAAAAGTATACTCACTATTAAAGAAAACATGCCGGGCCCGGCGCGGTGGCGCAAGTGGTTAAAGGTCCTCGCCTTGCACGCCCGGGATCCCATATGGGCGCTGGTTCTAATCCCGGCAGCCCCGCTTCCCTTCCAGCTCCCTGCCTGTGGCCTGGGAAAGCAGTCGAGGACAGCCCAAAGCTTTGGGAACCTGCACCCGTGTGGGAGACCCGGAAGAGGCTCCTGGCTTCGGATCGGCATAGTATCGGCCCGTTGCGCTCACTTGGGGAGTGAATCATCGGACGGAAGATCTTCCTCTCTGTCTCTCCTCTCTGTATATCTGCCTTTCCAATGAAAAAATAATAAAAATAAATCTTTAAAGAAAACATGCCATCAACACTCTATTAATCCAATACATTGAATTTACATAAATACTTATTTCCCCATCAAGGACTCCCAGAAGTTCTTTAATTGAAAGTTCTCTTACCCTGAGGGGCTTCAGAAATGTAACCAATGGCTGTGATAGCACCACTGAGGTAGAAGTTCAATATAACTTGTTTTACTACTAAGTGGATTCTGAAGCGAATTCCTCATGCTTGGAATGGCAAGATTGGAGGCAATTCAGAAAACCTGAATTATAAAAACCACTAGAGCAGGACACTCGGAGCATGCCCCATATCGGAGACCTGAGATGGGTGGGAGGCTGGGTGGGACTTCTCCCTTTATCCCAGATACAGAAAAAGAAAAAATAATGTGGAAACAATAGTCTTACTCACTTTCCTGTAGCCCTTGACTCTCTGTGTCCTAATCAACTATGTAAAGATTGCCAAAACAAAGTAATTTCAATTTCAAAAAATATATTCAGCAACATTATAGGTGAAACTAAATTTTCTATAGTCAATCTAATCTTGGATGGCAGTCATGACAGAAAACAAAGAAAATTTCAGATCCAATTTAAACATTTAAATAATTTAAATCAGTGATTGCTGACCAAAAAATACTACGGCCAGATTCCAAATTATTTCCCAGCTATTGGCAATCGCTTAGTTTGCCTGGTACCTAAGCAATTGCTAAAATTGCTAGAAGAAAAGCAGCCAAAGTTGGCAGGCATTCTAGATCTGGCTAATGCCAAATTTGGGTTAACTACACCAGTGTAACAACATAGTTGTCTATTTTTTTTTTTTAATAGATGGGGAAGGCAGAGAACACCCGGCTGGGAAACGCCATCCTGTCCCCCAAATGGAGAGGGTCACGGATTGCCTTGGGAACACACTGAAGTGGCAGCAGCAGAGGGCAAGTTTGACAGGGGAACAATGATTTCTGGGGGCTTCCAAGTACCCAGCCATGCACTTGCAGGTAGGTACGAGAGATGAGATGGAGTGGTTTAAACGGGGACAGAGGGAATGTCTGGGTTAGGCCAAGGCACCTACCTGCCGATGTGGAAGACCTGGGTTGGACCAAATAGTATTGCCATTGGCTGCTGGCACACACAAAAGCTGGGGCTGGGAGGCATGCTTGGATGGGATAGGTCACAGTACCCACTCATGAGTGTCAGAGCAGGTGGTGCTCCACACCACCTACCAAAACATGAAAGAACCGGATCTGAGGGCAGATTCTGTAGGGGACTAGTGGGCTAGCCTCTGTGGGGCTCTCCTCTGGTTAGTGTGCTGGGGTTAGTGATGGGTAGAGCCAGGCTGAACCACCTGACAGGAACAAACCTAACACAGGAGTTGGGACTGGGAGGAGGCTGTCCAGGCTGGACCAGGTTGCAGCACCTGCTGGCACATGCAAAGGATAGGACAGAGGGCAGACCATGTCAAGCAGGGCTACTGCACCAGCTGGCACAAATAAGATCCTGGACATGGTAGGGACGTTTGGGGAACTCCTTGCTAGGCCATAGCTTCCACTAAGGAGCATATTATTGGGTTGGAGCCTAGCTAGGCCAGGCCAGGTTGCAGTACTTGTAAGCATTTGTATAGGCCAGGTCCGGGGGTGGGCCAAGCTGGGCCAGATTGCAGCACCCACTGCCACACATGAGAGCCAGGACAGGATGTGGGCCACGCTCAGCTAGGCAAGGTTACAATGCCTACCAGTCAGAGTTGAGACTGTGGGTGGCCCATGGCAGTCTGTCAAAGCACCCGCCAGCAAGCACCAGCTACAGTGCTGAGAATGGGCCTGGTAAGAGAACTTTGGGAACTCCCCTGGCAAGCTATAGCTCCCACTGGGGAGTGTGAGAATCAGGGATGGGGAAGACCAGGGTGGGCAAGGCTGAGCACCCATCAGCATGCATGCAGGCTGGGTTTGGAGGTGGGCAAGATGGGGCTATGCTCCAGCACCTGTTGATACTCACAAGAGACAGAATGCCTGTGGGACAGGACAGGCTAGACCCCCAAACCCTAGAGTTCACATGAGAGCTGGGTCTGGGGGTGGGCTAGGCTGGGCTAAGCTATAGCACCTACCAGCAAAGAACTAAAATGGGTGTGGGCCATTTGGATTATCCCTTAGCACCCGTAGGCACTCATGATATTTGGGGCTGGGAGCTGGCCTGGTAGGGGAACTTGGAGAAATCCCCTGCTAGGCTACAGCTCCCATTGGTGAGCACAAGAGCCAGGGCTTAAGGCAGGCCAAGCCAGGCTGGGCTGTAGCACCCACTGACATATGTATGAGCCAGGTCTACATCATTCCACAGCACACACTGGCACAACTGAGAGCCAGGATGAGGCACCAGCCAGGTTAGGTTGGACCACAATACCTGCCAATTGACATGAGGGCTGAGGGTAGGCCAGGCTGGGCTAGGCTGCTGTACCAGCTGGTGAGAGCTGGGACTGGGCATGGGCTGGGCTGAGCCAGGCTATAGTACCTGCTGGCAAATGCTGAGACTGGGATCAGGCCAACTCAGACTGGGGACATCATTTGCTGGTATGTGTTAAGACATGGGGCTGGGCACAGGTCTGGTAGGGAAATTTCAAGGATTCCCTTGCTGGGCTGCTGTTTCCACTAGTGAGCATGAAAGCTGGGACTAGGGGTGAGCTGGTCTGGGTTAGGCTACCACACCTCTATTGTGCAAAGAGTCAGAATTAGAGCGGGCTGGCCAGGTTATGTCACAGCATCCACTGAGAAGTATGGGACTACGTACAAGTAATGTCAGGCTGGACTAAAGTGCCCCCTGACTAGCACAAGATCCAGGGCTGGGAGCAAGCCTGGTCTGGAAACTGTGGGTACTCCTCTGCTAGGCTGCAGCTTATAGTGGTGGACTGGGCTGGGCAAAGCAGCAGCACCCATGGGCATGCATGTGGGTTGGTCTGGGAGTGGTGTGGGCTAAGCTAAACCACAGAATCCATGTATGTGCACAAGATCCAGATGGGTTACAGGATGAACCAGACTATACCACAGCACATGCTACACATGCAAAAACCAGGGCTAAAAGCAAACCTGTTGGGGGGTAACTGGAGGCCGCAGCACTGAATGGTGTGTGTACATAAAGACCAGGCCTTTGGTGAGCTGGGCTAGCTAGTCTAAGTCGCAGCACCCCGTTTGCATGAGAGATGGGGTCAGAGACAGAACTGACCAGGCAACTGCATCCACCAGTATGTGCATTGCCTCATGGAGGTAACAGCCTAAATCTGACCCTGTTCTATCTGGTGCACACAACAATTAAGTCTGAGGTCACCCCAGGTGAAGT